ATGGTAACGGTCGCTAATCAGCAGGTGAAAACAACATAGCTTAGGAAATGAAAAACGAGAAGAACTGTAAATCAAATAAGCCTGACAATTTTGTTGTGGTTCTGTTATATATTTGTAGCTTGCTAGGATTCTGTAATATGCTAGCGTTATTCAAAATTGAGCAATCGGCTAGGTAACTCCTCCATAATTAATTAATTATGCCATTTGTTCCTATTATTGAAGGTCTAATAGGGAAAGCTGTTTCATCGTTGATAAGGCAACATCAAGTAAACCATTGCAATTGTGACACAATTATAAATTACGAGTTAGACCCGTTTCATAATTTTGTCAACCGAAAGCCCCATTCTGGATTGCGTAAGGAACCTTGCTTATGTTCAAAGGGAATAAAAATGATCAAATCTGTCTTCCCGAACTATTGTGAAAAAACAAGACAAAGATCCAAACACTGGCATGCTTTTATCGCTATGAAGACTTACAGTTGCCAAACAATTTGTAGTTAACATTATGTTTTTACAAAGTTATGATTTTACCCTTACTATTCAATTATAAGATTTAAAAAAAGATACATTATATTGTATTAAGGATTTACAAAACAAAGTTGTGTCTGATAAAAAACTGCGGTAATGTCAAAACAATATGAGTGTTTGTATGGGAGCAACTTAAATAACCTTACTGAAATCAGCTGAAAGGGAAATTCAAGTTCTACTCTTTAAATGTTAGGGATGAACTCTTTAAGTGGGGGGAAATGTTGTAACTCACGATGTATGTTATGATTAACTACAGATAATTGATTTGTCGGACAATTCAAGGTCACCTTAAAGCTTCGTTTGACCTTTTGCAAAACAAATATTCTGCAATATCAGTGCAATTATTCAAAGCACTGCTGGAAAAGCTGTGGTATATTCAATATTAGCGAGAGAATGATTTGCAATCGTACTATTAAGCAACCCTAACGTAAATGTTTTATCTCACCCAGTCCGAGTTGCCATTTGCATTTGCGTTGGTTAATCTAGTGATTTGTTTATTTAAGTACATCGTTTTTCCTTAACATAGGAATATGTAAAAATAAAGTATTGTGCGCCATTTCACTCACTTTGATCATTTGATTAGACCATTTTAGGCTTGAAAGTCTCAAGGCTCAATGTATTAGTTAGACATAAGAGATCACGTGAGAAACACGTGTCACAATCCTCCGAACGCAGTGCTCCAGACATCATCCACTATGTTCCCTTCTTCTTGGAGGTACGAGTTCTGGAAGCCTGTGTTTGGAGAATGCGTGAAAATCTCAAAGTCGCCATAGGGAAAGCTGAGTGAACACCTCACGTCGTACTGAAATGAAATGACCCGAAATCCTAATGCAAAGCGACGACGCTTGAACGCATGGACTTATCTGATTCTTATAACTCTACATGAATATTATGTTTTCATAAGGATAACAGTGTTATCATTAGTAGTAAAAAGATCGATGGGATAGTTTATTTAACAAACCTGTAGACTACTGTGAATATCGAAAACAAGATATCCCTCACAAAAAACGAATTCTTAAAACAAACTCAAAAACAATCATGATTATAATACTAAGACAATACTTCGCCTTCTGATATAATTAACATTATGAAGTTCAAAATCCAGATATATTTCAGATGTCAAGACGACAATACGACAATAATGTCATTTTAGAAAGAACCATTATTGTTCTTCTTTGTTTTGATCGATATCCATGCTACACTGGGATTGTCGGGCGTCTTGACATGAACGTCGAATTAGCAGAATAATTAGTCATGTTTTATTTCTTTTTGGCTGATGACAGGATTCTCCACCCCTTGGAGACAAAAGTACATAGAAACGTACGTGCTTCTTGCCACATCTCCAAAAAGTAGTTTCGTTCGTTGCGTTCAGATTGCTCTGAACGAATTTGTTGGAAATTGGCTACTTGTTTAACTAACCCTGGTTGCATGTAAAGTAGTTCTATGAAGAACTGTATCCTCAGAAACGTTTATCTATATTATATCGCTTCATGAAACTAAAATGTTAGATTCAGTCAAGGGCGTAGCCAGGATGTAAAACTTGACGAGGCACCCTTGATTTGGTGAGGCAAATTTGAGGTAAAAGCAAAACAACACTATCACAAGAGCTCATTTTCACACTTTAAATTTTGAAAATGACAAAATTAATGCTTTCTGTGAGGTACTGGGACAACCTTTATTTGGCGAGGCAAATTGAGTTAAAAGCAAAACGACACTATCATAGACTATCTAAAATCATACTTTTAAATGGGAAAATGTCTGAATTAAATATTTTTGGTAAAACTTTGGCGAGGCAATTGCCTCACTTGCCTCCTGCTATTGCCCCACTTGCCTCCTGCTATTGCCTCACTTGCCTCCTGCTACGCGTGTGCTTTATCATAAAGGATGGAATAAACGATGAGAGGAGCAACCCATTAGAACCATGCACATTGCATATTTGTATGATAGGAATTCATTTGTGTGATGTCTCTTCATGAATGTGAACAACTATCAAAAGGGCAATCAACATTCAGCGAAATATGCAATAAAGCCAATAACATCGCAGTATCTGTTACGCGGAATATGGCATATATTCATGGTTGTGCGGTATTTGTGATACGGGTGAATATGCCATACTCACCTGCGGTGTATGGCATATTCCGCTGGTGAGTATGGGATATTCCGCAGTGAATATGCGATACATTAATTTCAGTAAATACCCGATATTCACCTGCGGAATATGTCAAACTCACTTGCAGAATATGCCATATACCGCGGGTGAGTATGACATATACCGCAGGTGAAAACGTGATACAGAAAGCCTTAATTTGATTGGTTGCCAGAATCAACTCTAAATGTTAAACTACGCTGGATTTCCAAGAAAGATAGTGATTCGGGTAGTAATGTATGAATATTGGATTTATTGAATAAGTTTACCACGTGAGATTGCTGAGTGATACTTCTGCATTAGTTGATATATTCAATGCATTGTACTGATGATTCAGTAATCATTTCAATAGTTCATAAACTTTTACTCGTTTGTTCAATCGATGGAATTGACAATTACGTAGTTCCGTATCACGTTCTCATTTGTTAGTGAGTATGCCATACACCCCAGGTGAATCTGTCATACACCGCAAGTGAATATGCCACATTCGTTGCGGAATATGACATATATTTGTATCGTGTTTACCGCGTAACAGTATCTACTCAGATTGTCAGATGAAAATTACGATCAATGTATTCAGCACTTGAGTATTGTATTTTCTAATATTAAAACTGGGAGAGTTAAAAATAATTATGAAAAGCAGTTTAATTGATTTCACCTAGAGTTTTATAGTATTTGTTTTGATCATTAACATCAATTGCTTAGTGAGGAAAGGACTTGATGTAGAGTTATTACTAATCAGTATGGTTTCATTTACTCTTCAAATAATACTGCTGATTATCACAATGTACAATCACAGCTAATTATCACAATGTACAATCACAGCTGATTATCACAATGTACAATCACAGCTAATTATCACGAATCATAATCACAGCTGATGATCACAATGCACAATCACTGTTGATGATCACTATGTACAATCACAGCTGATTATCACAATGCATAACCACTACTTATTATCACAATGTACAATCACATCTAATTATCACAATGTACAATCACATCTAATTATCACAATGCATAATCACAGCTAATTATCACAGTGCATAATCACAGCTAATTATCACAATGCACAATCACAGCTAAAAATATAATTATCACAATGTATAACCACTGCTTATTATCACACTGCACAATCACAGCTGATTATCACAATGCACAATCACAGCTAATTATCACAATGCATAACCACTGCTTATTATCACAATGTACAATCACAGCTGATTATTACAATGTACAATCACGGCTAATTATCACAATGCATAATCACAGCTAATTATCACAAGGTATAATCACTGCTAATTATCACAAAGCATTATCGCTACTGGCTGATTATCACAATGATCAATTACAGCTCATTATCACAAGGCATTATCGCTGTTGGCTGATTATCACAATGCACAATCACAGCTAATTATCACAAGGCATTATTGCTGCTGGCTGATTATCACAATGATCAATCACAGCTAATTATCACAATGCACAATCACAGCTGATGATCACAATGTACAATCACAGCTAATCATCGCAAGGCATAATCACAGCTGATGATCACAATGCATAATCACAGCTAATTATCACAATGCATAATCACTGCTGATTATCACAATGTACAATCAAAGCTAATTATCACAATGTACAATCACAGCTAATTATCACAATGCACAATTACAGCTAATTATCGCAAGGGATAATCACAGCTGATGATCACAATGCATAATCACTGCTGATTATCACAATGCACAATCAAGGCTGATTATCACAATGATCAATCACAGCTAATTATCACAATGCATAATCAGTGCTGATTATCACAATGCACAATCAAAGCTAATCATCACAAGGCATAATCACTGCTGAGGATCTCACTGCACAATCACAGCTAATTATCACAAGGCATAATCACTGCTGAGGATCACACTGCACAATCACAGCTAATTATCACAATGTACAATCACAGCTAATTATCACAATGTACAATCACAACTAATTATCACAATGCATAATCACAGCTAATTATCACAGTGCATAATCACAGCTGATTATCACAATGCACAATCACAGCTAATTATCACAATGTATAATCACAGCTGATGATCACACTGCACAATCACAGCTAATTATCACAAGGCATAATCACTGCTGATTATCACAATGCACAATCACAGCTAATTATCACAATGTACAATCACAGCTGATTATCATAATGTACAATCACAGCTAGTTATCACAATGCATAATCACTACTGATTATCACAATGTACAATCACAGCTAACTATCACAATGCACAATCACTGCTGATTATCACAATCCTAATACTTACCATGCTTTCACACGGATGAGAATCTCGCCATCGCCAGCCTTTAGTTCTGGCTTTTTTTGCACTTTGGTGTTTTTGATGCCCCCAAATCCAAGAAGAGTTATACATCGCATCTCGGGTGGTGGAGGACTTTGGTTGACCTCTGGTTGATTATTCGTGTCTCCTTCTGGCACTTCGGCATCTTTCGTTGCCCCCTCACTGTTCTGTGAATTCATATTTGTTGTGTTCAATTCAACTCCAGAATGAAATACAAGAATATATAATTCGTCTGTTTACTCCACGCGTATCCTGACCCGATTATGCTCCTGTAGTTCTCGTGATTAGAGATGTCAGCTCTCAGGGCAGTGTCAGCTGTGTCAGTTATAACTGCAGTGATGTCATACAGCTTCCTTCAGATCTCGCCAACAACAAGCTGCAGCTAATTATCTACTTTGGATTCACAATTTTCGCTTACAAGAAATCGAAGTCAGAACCATCCATTCTCCTACTACTTCGTCAATTTTATAATATGCTGCATAAATCCAGCTAAACTCGTACTGATTGCCAAGCAATTGCAAATATTAAGAAGTGATTACTTTCAAATGCGGCACAATATGGCAAGTTTGCGACTGGTTTGCTAATAATATATGTCCACCCACGGATATTGCACATCACATCGTAGGTTGCATTTACCATGTTACAGTTGAGTCTTCATTGGAATACAGTTAGAGCAACGTTTTTCTTATTTAAGAGAGAGCAATTACTTCCTATTAAGTAATCGCTGTTTACAATATCGTTCGTGAAAACGGAATATGGAGGAATGTGCCTTTTAAAGATGAGCTTACAGATAATAGCACTTCGATATCGTGCGTTTTTTATGTAAGGGAAATTCAATCTATTGAACGGCTGGTAATTTAAGGCTAGAGTCCTCGTGGGGAATAAAATGAATTGTTGTGCTCTGCATTACTATGATGTATACAAGAGACATCTTTTATCTTTTCCAAAATAATATTTAAATATCCAAACACCCTTTTATTTAGAATACCTCTCAATGTGAACACTTTTTCGGTCAAAAATGTAAACGTGTGATCTCCCATTGACTCACATGTTTAGAGACCTTGAAATGCGAACACCCGCTAATAAGAACACTTTTGACCGGTGTAAAAGGGTAGGAGGTCCTATTAATTTATGGTCCTCGGCTCTCCATTGATTTCTATGGTGACCCCTTTCCCTTATTATCTTATAAGCTTACACAATCAGGGCCAGTAAGGGCCTTTAAAAAGAGGGACCATAATCCCCGGGGGACAATAATCTCTTTCACGCCGGTGTAAAAGTGTAGGAGGTCCTATCAAATTATGGTCCTACTCTCCATTGATTCATATTGTGACCTAAATACAACTCTTTCCCTCATTATCTTATACGCAATCAGGGCCAGTAAGGGCCGTTAAGAAAGGGGACCACAATCCCCGGGGGACCATAATTTCTTTCACGCCGGTCCCAATGGCGTTCGGATTAGACAGATTTCAGTGTCATAGTTTAGTTTGTGTACCCTTACAGCTCTAGATGCATCAGATAGTTTAAACGATATATTAGAAAGATGAGACCTATTACACAAAATATCTGTGAGCGTGTATAGTAATCAGAACAACTTTTCCCTCAGCGTTCAAGTATGCTTTCAGAAACGAGACCGGTGTGAAAGAAATGATGGTCCCCCAGGGATTATGGTCCCCTTTCTTAATGGCCCTTACTGGCCCTGATTGTGTATAAGATAATGAGGGAAAGAGTTGTATTTAGGTCACCATATAAATCAATGGAGAGCAGGACCATAATTTGATAGGACCTCCTACCCTTTTACACCGGCATTTTGAGCATGTTTTGAAAAATGGCCTTAAAATCGTGAGCCTTTTATTATCCATGTATTATAATTATCTAGTGTTACATTTACGGGCCTTGCAGTTGATACACATTGGGGGGGGGGGGGATTATCAGTGCAAATTATCAAAAATTGGAAAAGACATAAAACCTTCGGAAAAGACAATTTGAAATTGAAAGAACAATGGACAAGGTTATATAGGTACCTGTTACACTGCTGGGTTGAGTCTAACGAAGCATTTTTGTAACGAAGGTTAGCGAAAAAATTGTGTCCACACTGGCTTTATCCAACCCTAACGAAGCAATTATTTGGTGTTACACTGCACTTAAAATGCTTCGTTGCGCCTGCGCATTACTCATCTGCCCCACCCACTTATTATTATGATTAATATTTTTATTCTTTTGATATAAACCATTGACCAAACTCAAAAATCTATTTTTTAATCTTTATTTTAACAATTCTGCACAAAAAGACTAGTTAAAAATTCTCGGGAAAATAAAACCAGATGAATGTGATCATTCCGTACACAAGTTCATATATTTTTCCTACCATTTCGATTTTTATATATTTCAGCTGTCAATACGATTACAAGTATTGTTTTCATTTTCTATCATTTCCTTTGGAAAACATATGGAATAAAAATAGGCCTATGTTAATTACTAGGAGGAATTTGATTTGGGGTTTATACAGAGGACTAGTATGTAATATCGTATAAAAACGTTCAATTTCCAAATGGACTTCTCAGTTATATTTAAAATATTGTAGCCATTACTAAAATATCTCGGTGTTCGGCTGGTGGTTTAACTACTATTTCATGACCAATTCATTTTAATATGAATATTACCCGTCTCGCCAATATTCCATGCATATTTGAGTGAGTTTGACATAAATTAGTATGTTAATACATAAGCCGTCCGTTGAATTCAAAAATGGCACAAATAGGAAGAAACTTGAATATCAGTTGTAAGCATTGTCTTACGACACATCAATAGTGTTTGGGGCTGGCCTAAAACATGCAGCCTCTCTGTGGCAAATATCTGTCGACAAGAAACAATTTTGGCCACCGTTCCTTGTCCGCAGGTTTTACCGTATTTGTATACGGAAGTTTTGAAACGTAATTAATTCAGTATATTTAAACATGAAGTTTAAATTCAATTACAATTTAAAATCGTCGAAGAATAAAATAATGGAAGGACTAGTACAGGTATTGCAATGGGGGCGATAGCCAGTTGAATACGATTTCTGAAGAGAGACATTTTCGAATCAATCAAATCGGCTAAATTCCCTGATGTGATTCACCGGGAAGCAATTGTATCAGTATCATGGTATTAACACCTTTAAAATTACATTCAAGGTATAATTATTCGAGGCGCAAGAAAAAATTAATATAAAACATGCATGCCACAACTTTCTATTTAGTAAGCATATCTTATGTAATTTCAAAAGTTTACCCTTCCACACTTGAGACGGAGTTTTTCGAAAGAGGGACATTTAAATATTCTAGGTTTATTCTCTAATAGATCAGATAAACGTTTTAAAACTACCGTATACATACGGTAAAGACCTGCGTTTTTTAGATTTAATACTTTTTGTCATATCAATGCGAGGAAAGGCAGGGAATCAAATGAAATGCTACGAAAGACGGTAAATCACATTTGTACGTGGCGTTTAGGGTTTGAGTTAGCGTCAATCAGTGACGCAAAAACATGTATAGGTATTAAAATAATACGTACTTAAAAACATGTTCTTTCCTCGCGATTCCTCTCATTTAATACAAAATGATGAATGTGCTCTTTATTACGCGCATGCGCAAACCGCCAACTAAGCATTTTCTAACGAAGCTACCCGTTACACTGGCCAAAAAGCTTCGTTGGGACCTAACCTTCGTTGAATTTTCTACTCCATTGCTTCGTTATCAACTAAGCTTTTCTAACGAAGGCGGAGGTGTTACACTGGCCCAAAATTGCTTCGTTACGAAGCTTTTTTGTCAAATTGCTTCGTAACGAAGCATTTCAACTGGCCTGTGTAACAGGGGTCATACTTTATTTATCTCATGCTGAATGACCGAGGTTTTGACATTTGTTTTGGCTCACTCTGTATAAGTACATTAATTTACTATTAACAGACCAATTCAAATCAAACTGGTCTTGTAATTTCTCGAATATTTGATTTTTTCCATTTTAGGAGTAAAGTTGAGATAGAAAAAGACTATACACTGCAAACCACAATTACGTTTTCTGTTCTCCTTCATGTCCAAAGGATAGATCAAGTAAACGTTACATTATTTCACTTTACGTATTCTCAAGTTTTAAAATGCATTTTTGTGCTTGTGAGCTACTTTCTCTCATATCTTTCTAAATAATGATTTCATAAAAATCATTATGTTTCATAATATGTCGTTTATTATACAATGTTAAAGTGTACAAGTAAGGTATCCTTTTAAGATTGATACCCGATTAAATGAATAAATCTAACAAAAAATGTTTTACTTTAGTCGACTTTAGTACACAGTACAAAACCAATGCTGATCGAATGAAAATTCTAAATTGTGCAATTCGAACTACATTCAAGCACTTGTGGGTGTTTTAATTTCAGGTCATTCTATTTCTGATAAAGGTCTCTAACTATATCGTGATATGCAATTAAAAGGTCTGCAAAATTTCCTAAACAGAACCAAAATCAAACACAAATTAGTGAAGACCATGTTTTTTCCGAGACTTCTTTGTTATTATTCAACAAACATTTGGCACGAACAATCATATTTTACTCTTTAACCAATCGTTATAAGACTATATGCAAAATCGCATATTTTTACCCACAAAGACACCATTCGCACAAGGGTTCTATAATGTCACCCGATGTATCAATAAGCATAGGCGGAAGAAATATTTTTAGTATAGATGGCAGGACAATCAACTACGTCTACGTGTAATTCTTCCACTGCCGCCATCTTTAGATCGGTATGAACATTACATTGATTAATGTTTCAGTTTTCCAAGCGCATTATAATTACAGGTCTATATAACTACGAATGGCGCTCTACAGGGCGTCCACTAAAAAGTATACCCAACTTCAAAGCCAGGACACTAGAATTCTGAGCAATATTTTGAAAATTCAAAGGTTGCAGTTAATAAGGCCTAGTTTATTCTCCATCAAATGGTACCTAGATCATTATGTAACTCTCAAGGATGATCACTGAGCAATCTTGACAATTATGAAAGGTGGTAAAATCAGCCCTGTGCCAAGTTAGCATTCAAGTAGGATTGACACAATAAATGTTTTTTTGTGTTCAAATCATTATCAATTTCCCTCTTGGGAATTTGATCACAAGAGCCACTTGAACAGCAATGAAACTTGATGATATGATAATGATATGCAGCTTTGAAGTCAATTGTATCCCCCATTTAAGTCAATACACCCTTGTTGAAATCCCTATTTTCTCAGAAGAATTCAAGTTGATTGAGTCTCAACAAGTAGATTGGACATGCTTCTTAGAACTATTTGTTGGCTCTACTGCTCAGGTGTCAGTTGAACCATGTTTGCAGGCCTATTTTAGAGTAAGCCTTTTGCCAAACCTTTTTTCATAAGGGACTTACTCAGCCTCCAGTAAAGTTCATTATGAAAGTCCTGTCCTCTTACATAATGTAACAGTAAAAGAATACCAAGCCAATTACACATCGATTGCCACACAAGAAGATAATTTGGCACAGCGCTAATTTTACCACCTATCAGAATTATCATGATTGTTCAGTCATACATGGTAGTTACATAGTAATCTAGGTACCATTAAGTGGAGTACGAATAAGGCTTTTTGCTGTTACCTTTGTATTTCCAAAAATTGCTTGAGCAATATTATCCATTATATAATTTGATTCCTGAAGGATTCTAGTAATTTGGTTTTGAAGTTTGGTATACTTATTTTGTGTGCACCCTGTAGATATAATAATACATAATACATATGTCCCTAATAATTCTTTTTTGTGGACGCCCTGTAGATATAATAATACAAAATACATATGTCCCCTAATAATTTTTATTATAACCGTTTAATATACTTCCGGCTTTTAGGCTGAATTATGCCTGCCATTAGCAGAGGTCAAAAAATAAAATCCCAAATTTTCACAATTTGGAGTACACAATGCAACAGAAAATATTACAAAATGATTTTAAATATATTATTTAGGGTTCTGAGATATAAGTTTGAGGTTATTTTTCTTATAAATACCCAAGAATTATGTAATCAGTGTATTGACGTTTTGTATTGTTTTTCAGATATTAATAAGATAAATGTTACAAATGAATCACTTTTATATTAGAATGACAGATGCTTAAATTATGCTAGTTTTTCACAAAATGGGTATTTATACGTTTTGAGATATAAATCAAAATATTTACGTTTTTTGACCCCTTGGGATGAAATACATTTTTTGACCCGGACGTTTTTTCAGCAAATGGTATTTTGAAAGAATCAAGACATACCTCCATAGATATTGCTTAAAATGATGCTGCGCTATAGTGTGCTACGGATCCTTCATATTCGAAAGTTATACCATGGACTATTATATTTGTCATTGTTACCCATTCTAGTTCAATGGTTCTACTTTCAAACAGAATTAATGGAGACGACTGATAAGTGATAACAATGTTGAAGACAGGCCTTAATTTACAGGCTCACTTATTTTTGTCATTGTTACCCATTCTTGTTCAATGGTTCTACTTTCAAACAGAATGAAGGCGACTGATAAGTGATAGCAATGTTGAAGATAGGCCTTAATTCACAGGCTCCCTTTACACTTGGCATTGTTACCCGTTCTTGTCCAACGGTTCTACTTTCAGACAGAATGGAGGCGATTGATAAGTGATAACAATGTTGAAGATAGGCCTTAATTTACAGGCTCACTTATATTTGTATTGTCAGCCATTCTTGTTCAGTGGTTCTACTTTCAAACAGAATGGAGGCGACTGATAAGTGATAGCAATGTTGAAAATAGGCCTTAATTCACAGGTCATTTTGTATTTGACATTGTTACCCATTCTTGTCCAACGGTTCTACTTTCAAACAGAATGGAGGCGATTGATAAGTGATAGCAGTGTTGAAGGTCTTAAGGTCACACGACGGAATATTATTCTTGTTCGCGGGGACGAATCTCAATCTGTGCATCATATTTGAGACAAATAGAAAAATCCTGTCCATCCCTATTTTCTCGCCAAGACATGATCTCTTTCCAACTCCAAAAGGGAATAATCTGCAATTCAAAATGAGGCTCGATGAATTATTTTAGAATGGCGATCACACGGTTCAAGACATACTTCATACGTATGTTAGATTCATACTCCATATTAGAAAATGATACAATAAAAGCAATAATCTTGATATTTGAGCAATACTCTACTCGAGAAAGCAAAGTAAAAACAATGATAATCATTCCTTGTGTAACCCTTTGCAAGGCTAGCAGTTTGCACTAGAATGGTAATAGTAAACTTACGATTTGACATCTGCTAGCTTGTAAGCTTTGCCATCACTGTTCAAAAATCTCTCTGGCTTGAAAGTAAGCGGGTCAGTGAAGTAGCGAGGGTCATGATGGGCTGCCCATACGTTTGTCCAAATCTGTAATTTTGAATTCTCAAAGATTATATTATTTGTTAATCATTTTTAAGATGTGACTTTACTTAATATTTATAGAGGTAAGCCCGACACGTTGTCACTATGGTCAATGCTACCTGCGTACTATACCCGGGGTACTATACACCATGATCTAAAACATCAACAAGTAAAAATCTATACCTTGGTTTCTTTTTGATGTTTTGTGTATCACTCTCAGCCATGTGTAATAAATTAATGTTTTGATAACCTCCAGCTGCATAGCTAGAGGTTACTGAAACAAGGGTCAAAACAAGTCCTCTTTCTTTCCCAGGAAGGAAGGCTTTGCCCCTAATGCGGTGGGTCAACAGTGAATTATTACTTTTAGAATTCATTTTTAGATAAGCAAAATTTAGACATTGCCAGGACATACATTTAACCATGCCTCTCAAAGCCAAGGTTAGGGAAGAAGGAGTATCTAGAATCCAAGAGGGAAAGAAAGGAACTGCTGCAAACTACTTTTGACAACACAACCAAAATTAGAACTAAAATCCCATCTTCACTAATCTCACTTTCTCTTTCATTTTAGCCAACAGGTAAATCGTAGGTATTTTATCCGAGAATTGTGACTCTTAATGACTTATAACACATTGATTTCGTAACTCACTTCAAGAAATAGGTCGTGATAACTTTTACTCTGCTACATGTAATAAAAACGTTAACGCGTGAGTATCAATAGGACTACACAAAACTGATTGCTTAACAAAATAATGTACATGCAAGTGGATACCTGTGTGTCTTTGGGTATTTTATATCGCCTGAGAGTTGTATTACATGTGGTCTTATGGGCAACGCCCAATGGAGCTGGGGACATGAATCGAAAGTTCTCCAATATTACTGCCTCTGTGAAGGGCAGTTTTTCACGGTCAGCGAGAGTTGGAGATTTATCTGCAGGGATTGCAGCTTGTATCTCCGCAATAAGTCTCTCTTGGACATCCGGGTAATTAAGCATAAGCAGAATGAAACAGTCAAGGTGTGCTTTGGTAGTCAAAGTACCTGGAACAGCGATAACATCACAACGATTGTAAAATGACATTAATAATTTATGTACTGGTTGGAAAAGACCTGGAAACTCTTATGCCATTTCCTCATACATTTGTCATTTCAGGACATAACTCCCTGATATTTTACATATTTGTACATCATTCAGTTTCCTATCTGCCTATTTTATTTCACGGCCATCAGATTAATAACAGCACTTTAAAGAACATGCCCTGGTGGCTGCAGGGAAACCTGCATACATCGTCCAAAATGTCCCTACGTGTGGGGATATGGCAGAGATAGAGTGTATGAGAATGACCTGAGGACAATTGTAGACCTCAAAAGTGAGACCATCCGTGTCATTCAGGCCATACCTGCTGAGGAATGCATTCGGCTCATTGACAACTGGCAGATTTGCCCACAACGCATCGATGGCCAAACCTGACGCATGTTGTTCAAAGTGCTGTAACATTGTGACTATCACCCTGATGGTCATGCAATCTGGTAGGGTGGTAGGAAATTTGATTCTGTACAAATGTGTGAAATATCAGGGAGTAATTCTAAAAACGACAAAGATATGAGCAAAATGCAGGGTTTCCGTTTTTGACCACCCTGTACAAATCCCAGTCATAATATTTGGGAGGCTTACTTGAGAAGAAGGGGAAATGGGATACGATAAAAATATTGATCTCACCCAAACGATATCTCTTGGCTATATGATTGCCCGTATATTTTCATCAATATAAACCAAAAATGCGACGAGAGACGGGAAGGGCAAAATATCTAAACGCTACTTCTTGGTTATTCGATTGGCCATATATTTTTACCAATATGAATCAACGACGAGGGGCGAGAAATGCAACATAACTTGTCCAAACAATACTTCTTGGCTGTATGGTTGTCCAGATGTGTCAAACCGATATGAACCAGAACTTCGACCAAGGACGAGGAACTGGCAAATTTTTAAACAATGGAGAGTTTCACCTGCTACAGCGGTTTCAAAGAGTACACCGTTGACATTGTCCATATCTATGAGTCCATCATCGTAAGCTGTCAGTAGTACGCCTAATACAGTTGTTATGGATTTGGTATCATTCGAGTTTGATTCTTCGGACTGGAACGTGATAAAAAATACTTCACGTGAGATCACCATCACGTGACCATTTATAATTATATATACGTAGTTTTGTAAAATTCCCCAAATTGTACATGCCGTTAAATGACAGTATAGTAGTGTTAAAAGGTTAAAAAGAGAAAATATATCACTATTTAAAATATTTATAACTTTTATTATCAAAAACATGTAAATTGGTCCGTTTTTGTCATTTAAACCCAGAAGTATTAATCAATTCGCATAAATAAAATTGTTTTTTTCTGTGAACTAAATTCACATCTTTTTATTAGACTCCAGATTGAAAATCTGGAGTCTATTGTTTTTGCCTGTTTTCTTATTATTCTTCTTTATCTTTCTTTCTTTCTTCTTCCTCCTAACAGATTTTCTCTCCAACTATAACATCTTACTTAATCTAACTTACATGGTTAACTAAAGACTGTATCCGGCTTTCTGGGAAATTATGTCAAATTTTTATCTAGGTCAAAGGTCAAGAACTAGGTCAAATCCTACATTTTCAACATTCTTCATCATATCTTCGTCAATATTCTTCGTAACTCCTTCATCTTTTTTTCATCGTGTAGCTTAGAAAAAGCCGAATCAAAGATATGACATCAGAATTTTGATTACTCTTACCGATTTTGAGATATGGCGTCCGGAAAGTAGGCCAGAACAAAAGGTTCTCCAAATTCAACTTTGAGTTATGAAATAAGTGTAGAATGATCTCAGGAATCCGAATCCGCAAACCAAATTTGGATCGGACTTCCGGTTCGGAAGTTATGGCGTTTTGAAAGCTCAAAAATCTCTAAATTTGGTGCCTATGTTAAGTCAATGGGAAAAAAGACTTTTTCGAAGTGTAAAATACAAGATATAGACTGAGTACAGCTAAACATAATGAATGCTTATAAAAGAAGGGGACCTCAAAAGCCAGTTAGTTTCAAAATTTGGACACCAAAATGCCTAGGTCAAAATCTAGGTCAAATTCATAGTTTTTCCTTATTTTTACGATTCTGACACTACACTTTAATAATTTACTTCAAAATTTTGTATACAGGTAGCAAAGAGTGTGCTAATAGTGTTAGCCTTTTGCCGTCAGAAAGTATTTTGACCCACTTTTGAGATATGGTGTCCGAAAAGTAGGTCAAAATAAAAAGTACTCCAAATTTAACATATGAGCTATGAATTAAGGGTAGAATTTTCCTAGGAATCCGAATCTGCAAACCAAATTTCAATCCGACTTTCGGTTCGGAAGTTATGGCGTTTTGAAAGCTCAAAAATCGCTAAATTTGGTGTCCCATGTTATGTCAATGAGAAAAAAGATTTTTTGAAGTGTAAAATACCAGATATAAACTGAGTACAGTTTAACATTCTGAAAGGCTATAAAAGAAGGGGACCTCGAAGGCTATCTAGCTTTAAAATTTGGACACCAAAATGCCTAGGTCAAAATCTAGGTCAAATTCATAGTTTTTCCTTATTTTTGCGATTCTGACACGACACTTTAATAATTTACTTCAAAATTATGTATACAGGTAGCAAAGAGTGTGCTTATAGTGTTAGCCTTCTGCCGTCAGAAAGTATTTTGACCCACTTTTGAGATAATGTGTCCGAAAAGTAGGTCAAAATAAAAAGTTCTCCAAATCTAACGTATGAGTTATGGATTAAGGGTAGAATTTTCTCAGGAATCAGAATCTGCAAACCAAATTTCGATCCAACTTCTGGTTAGATAGTTATAGCGGTTTGAAGTCTCGAAAAGTCGATATGATGATATTCCCATGTTAAGCCAATGGAGTCGAAGATAACATTCTTAAGAGTTGTCTAAATGTCTATATTCTAGCTGACTCAGCTTATTCTGAATGACTCAGCTTACAAGTATTTGGATGACTCAGCTTAAAAAAAGTCTGAAATCTGGAGTCTTAAATTGAACTTGTTCAATTTACATGTCTAGTTTTTTTTCATATCGTACCTTGGATCTATATCTGTCAATCCATGTCTTACAGCTGTCACAGCCAGCTTTGTTCATTTCCATTAAAACTCTGTAAGACTTTGTGCCAAAGTGACGCAGCCATGGGAAGATGTCCAACTCCTGGCCACTCCCTTGTGCCATGTGTTCCATTCCACGTTGCATCTTCTCTACAGCGACGAAATCATCCTCTATGAAGTCCACATTTTCTCCAAGCATCTGTCATTTACAATAAACTAAGTACGTTAAGGAACTGGGTTAAATTCGGCATGGAGCATCGGTTTCTCTGTATTATGTACAGTATATTGTGTTACATTGAAGAGATTTGAATGCAAGTAGATCAAGGGTGATGTATTCACTAAATCTGCGGTAGTTTTTTTTGCGAAGGGACATGGAGGGCAAAGTAAATTTAATTTTCATCAAGACACACAGTGATACATATCGCACTTTAAATAGCAAAATTTACCCAATGCTCCACACACCTTATCCGATTTTGAAACTAGTCTCCTTTTGCATCTGTAAAAACTTCAAACTGAACAGTTTAACAGTTAACGTTTTTGGAATTTTGAAGACAAGAACTGATTTAAGTCTCGAACTATAGAAAAAACATTAAAAATTGCTCTTTTCAGATCCCATTGGGTCTCCGAAAGGACGAGTGGCTTTAAGACCCTATATTAGCCCCCAAGATATCTAGAAAAAACTGTATAGGATATCAAAGAATAGACTTTGTTTGATAACCACATCCAAAAATTAGGTCATTCTGACATTTATATTTCAAAATATAGGTCATTCTATTAACATGTATAAAATGACCTTTTCAAGGAAAAATCATTTTTTCACATCATTATTGTCAATGTTTCTATTTATTATCAAAGTTATCATTATTTTCAGTCATTTAAGACTTTTCAATTGATCCTGTTGCTATTATCTTACATAATAGTGACAAAGCATATTGGGCAACATTCGAAAACATATAGAATATAACAAGTCAAAATACAAACAAAATATTGAAAAGTGATCTTCTTTATACTTCATTTAGAACAATTGTCTACAAAAAAAGTTTGCGAAACTATGTAAGAAAAGAATATTGTGTTTTTTTAAATTTACATCATAATGAGAAAGAACAAGGGACAACATTTAAAAACACATGAAGTAATTAACAAGTCAAAAATGCATATCAATCAATTGTATATTGATCTGCTTCCTTGAGATCATTTGCACATAATATGTAGTTTGTGGCAGTAAAATACTGAATTTATTATTTCACATCACAGTGAGGAAGCACAAAGAGCAACATTTGAAAACACATGGACTTTACATAACTGTTGAAGAGCAAATTCATGAGTTTGTTCATTATAATAAGGGATTCTCTGAGCTATCATCATCTTCTTCAGATGACAACATTTCATACATATCTTTCGATTTTAAAATGTCAAACTCCGTGCATTTCTTTTTGCTTTTATACCCCTTGTGCCTACAGCCCTACTCCCAACAAGGCATGTACAACACCATCCAGTGATTGCAACAATACTATTACATACATCTGGATCTGGGTTATACTCCACCCATGTATAATGAGATTTAGAGGACACAAACCGATTACTGGACTTTCACACAAATTAGGCCATATGTATTTCTTTTAACAATGATGGTATATTTCCCATCTACTTGAAGATGGTCATCTGTGCATCGTTTAAATTGGTTGGCTTGATCTCAAGAGAGTCTACTATGATTTAGATGTAACCCTCTTGTCTCCATACAGGGGGTACTGGGAGATTGCAGTTCACTCATGCAGTTCCATTTGCTTTGGGTATTTTATTAGCAAATGTCGTTTTTTCCGCCTACTGATTGTGACTTACAGTATATTTCTTCTGTACAATAAAGTTGTACAACAATCATCTCATATGAATGTATTGAAAGGAATTGCATGTTATTATGTTGCTTAGAGCCATGGTAAAGATATATGCTTCTCAAGAGGTCATGCTCCAGTGCAAGCATACTGTACATAATAGTTCATGAAAAGATCATATGAATAAAGAAAATATACTCAAATATATAAAACACAACTGTCACAATCATTCTAAGGATTTTCAAAATGGCTGACATCATTTTATTTCATGCTGAAAATTGCAGAAGAGTTCCATTTTTTGCACAACGCTTGGTCCTTACATAGATTTTTACATATCTCAAGAAGTACCTTAGAGGTACACTATTCCCTCAATACATATAACTTTCTAGGTAACACCCCAGTCACATTTCCTACGGCGACCTTGCGGTCTATCATTTCTGCGGCCAGTAGCTTTTCTACGCTCGCCGCAGAATTTCTGCGCTCTCATACTTTTGCAGTCACATTTCCCACGGCAGCCGCACGGTGAATTTTAAATTTCTATTGATAAATAATAGTTTTTTTCATTTTATTTACATCAGGACAATTTATAAATGTTATTCAAAGTGCTAGGATGTAATATCAAATGAAAAGTGATCGTGAAACATTGACAAATAATGATTCAATCTTGTTGAGCCAGTTGATTTCTAAGGGGACCTCAGAAATGAACAAATATTATAACTCCGAGTTATAATTTCTACGCCTTCCCTGCGGCCTGTAAAAATCTGCATACGCCGTACGGAGGCCGCAAGGCGAGCGTAGTTTTTCTACGCTCGCCGCAGAAATTCACCGATTTAATTGTTCTGCGGTCGACTTGCGGCCGCCGTGCGACAAATGTGACTGGGGTGTGACACCCCAGTCACATTTTCTACGGCGACCTTGCGGTCTATCATTTCTGCGGCCAGTAGCTTTTCTACGCTCGCCGCAGAATTTCTGTGCTCTCTAATTTTTGCAGTCACATTTCCCACGGCAGCCGCACGGTGAACTTTAAATTTCTATTGATAAATAATAGTTTTTTTCATTTTATTTACATCAGGACAATTTATAAATGTTATTCAAAGTGCTAGGATGTAATATCAAATGAAAAGTGATCGTGAAACATTGACAAATAATGATTCAATCTTGTTGAGCCAGTTGATTTCTACGGGGACCTCAGAAATGAACAAATAGTATAACTCCGAGTTATAATTTCTACGCCTTCCCTGCGGCCTGTAAAAATCTGCATACGCCGTACGGAGGCCGCAAGGCGAGCGTAGTTTTTCTACGCTCGCCGCAGAAATTCACCGATTTAATTGTTCTGCGGTCGACTTGCGGCCGCCGTGCGACAAATGTGACTGGGGTGTTAGAACCAAGCGTTATATGAACAAAGCAAGAGTTTATCATGACCTTCCTCTATCAAAAAGAAGTAGGTCAACACAATTGCAAACAAAACTAATCCCTACTCAATGACTATTGAAATATGACTATTTATATGTACAAAATATAAATCCAATGAGTGTATAAAGTGACACAATCAAACAATGGGACATCTGCCAAGTTGGGTTTATACATTCTGGAGACATTTTCTGAGACTGATAAAAAATTCACATTTTCACAGGAAGTGATACATACCTCCCAAATCAACCAAAATATACTTATATCAGGAATCTTGAATGCTTTTTATTGCTATTTCTTGAAAATATACATACTTATCTACAATTTGATCCTACATATCAAGGATATTAACGACATTGCATTTTTCAAAAAATGTTAAGTGACCCCAGTGGTGTCTATAGCCATTCGTTCTTTAATTAATAATCACGTTTTGACCACTGAGGGTTAACTAAAGGTTAAATCTTAGGTCAGATTTAAACTCCTGACTTTTCAATAATTAAAAAAACTTAATTAATGAACAATGCCGAACGCTAAAAGTGATTGAAACTTACCAGATTCATAATGAATTTCGTGATACATCGGTCTAAGGGTATGATTGGATTAAACGCTTCGCCATTGTGTGACAAAAACTCTGTAATGCATTCTTCAATCGATTCCAGAGATATATCAACTATACGATCAGATGCTTCTCCATACTGTTTGAGTCCTCGTACAGTAAGTTTTCGCATAAGCTTAAGCGATTGGTTGAAGTCTTGAAAGAGTATAGCTTTATCGCCACCAGGAATTGAAAGAGTGAAACGCCAAGATTTTGGTCGACCTGCAAAATCATCTGACCTAGTCATCATGATCGTTTCATAATCGCTACAAACAACAACTTCTTCTCTGAAAAGTTGGAGTTTAAAAACATTTCCGAATTCCTTCGCCCATTCTTGAATCTGAATATATGGTAGGTCTTTGGAGAGTTGTAGCGCATTTCCTATTAAAGGAATGCCTTTTGGTCCAGGTATGTCTATCTTCCGCCATCTGAATAGGAATGCAATTAGAAAAAATATTCCTACAACTAATGAGCCTGTGATTAGTACAGCTGCCATCTTGCAACTATCTCGTGCAAGTGGTAAGAACATACGTACATGACGAAAATTGTCTAAAAGACACGTTTTAACTGTCTGGTGGGTCAAGGTTCGTCGTAAACGATCATACTAAACGCTTAACATTTTAGGTTAACACAATCTGACCTAATATCCGATCTGACTGTATAAACTTCAACTTCATCTATTGTAACATGTACGTACGCTTCTACTTCATGGGCTATTCATTTTTCTCATGGTTTTAAATGGAACAAATTGACAAGGCTTACTTTTTATAGTGATCATATACTCCAAGTCCACAGAAGGAATCAGAAATCAAAACTGTTCTCGATGTAAGACCAATATATGATGATTTTCAGATCTATTGAATCAAATAAATATTTACCCGAATTGGCCACTTTGTATGAACCTAGAAATAATTAATTACATACTGGCACATTGGAATAATATTGGAATAATATTTTCATTTAGTTTGGTATATATTTGTGACGAAGTCATAGTTGACCTCATTGATCATGATGATTATTACGCGTTGCTTTTCCTTAACTGACAATTCCGTCGCTACTACCCGTTCGATTAAATTGCAAACACGTGAAATGAGTAGTTGAAGATACCACTCACAGATGATACACATTTTCATATAATTCTACTCTATGTCTACACAAATAATACCTTAAAATTGTGATACTAACTTTTTTCATTTTTGGTAGGATTGTTTTTTCCTTTTCGGCATATAGATTCTGCTATATTTTGGCCTATTACTTCGTTTAGGGTGTGTTGACCGTAAAGAATTCACTCTACATTTACAAGTAAGTCATATTTTGACACGGCGTACTAGCTAGATCTTTGATGAAACTATAATACTGGTTTGTAATGTTAGTATTCCGGACAGGTTCAATGATGCAGTCATTTTTTCACCATTGTTGCAATTACCACAAACAAGCATATTCACTGAAATTTTTACAATTTATTTTCGAGGCAATTTCCAACACGAAGATTAAATATTTGATAATAATTTGTAGTCTTATGATTTCAATAGGCACTTTTGACAAATGTCACTCAGTAGAATACTGAGAAAGTGTTTTGCTTGAACAATAGGGTGGTCCAAAATATGGCGAAAAACCAACTTTCTTTCGGATCATCTTCCTCATTTGACTTACTGTTGTCCATGACCTAAAACACCTGCACACCAAATTTTGAGACCCAAATCCCATGGGAAATTTACCCACGCGTCGACTGAAAAATTCGGTTATTTCATGATTTTTTGCTATTTTCGATAAATTGCCATCTCCTTTTTCCTGGTATAAAATGTTTCTATTTTTTCATAATAAACATTTTTGTAGGACTCTTTATTACTTAATAATACTAGGAGCCAAAACACCAAATTTTGAGACCCAAATCCCATGTGAAATTTACCCATGCTTTGACTGAAAAATTGTGATTTTCACAGTTTTGTCCGATTTTCAATAGATTACTGTCTCCATTTTCCTGGTATAATATGTTTTTATTTTTTCATAATAAATATTTTTGGATGACTCTTTATTACTTCATAATACTAGGAACCCATACACCAAATTTTGAGACCCAAATCCCATGGGAAATTTACCCATGGTTTGACTGAAAAATTGTGATTTTCACATTTTTTCCGATTTTCAATAAATTGCTGTCTCCATTTTCCTGGTACGATACGTGTATGTTTTTATAATAAACATTTTTGAGGACTCTTTATTACTTCATAATACTAAAAACCCATACACCAAATATCCACCAAATTTTGAGACCCAAATCCAATGAGAACGTTACCCATGCTTTGACTGAAAACTGGTGCTTATGATAACTTATGATGTCTGTTTTAGGGGCATAATATGTTAATAAACATTATGGTAATTCCTTCTTAACCCAAAGAAACACCTAAATATCAAGACTTTAAGTCTTATTGAAAGGTGACAAATTCAGTAGTTTGGGGAAAATTTAGGATCTTTTACTTGTACATTTATATACTGTGGTTAATATTAAGAAGTGATGACTCGACAGCAACTCAAATGCCTTGAAGATTTGGTTTGTTGGTTTCAGTAGGGATACATCACAGGACTTTGTTTGGATTTGTGTGAGATGTCATATTCTTTCTCACATCTTTGCAGGGTAAGGTCAAATATCAAATCTGATTTTCTTTGGAGAAATGATTTTTTGATTGATCAATGTATCAATGGCATGGTCTCTGTTGTAACCAGTAAGCCTGTACCAAATCTTCAAGGGATTCGAGCTTCCACTGAGCTTTGTCATTTCTCTGAAAATGTTCATGCCCTGAAAGTACACAATGTAGAAGATAGGAAGAGCAATGAGAAACACTTAAGGTAATTCTGTATGTTCAGAAATTTTAAGTGGAGTCCAATGTTATTTCTGGAACTCATTCCATACTTGGTCAGCTCTTTCAATTTTACACTGAGTTCAAATATGTATTTAGATTATTAGTTGATGGTTAGTAATTTTCTATAATGTACTATGTGCTATGTTTATACACTGTTTGTGCATCTGAATGGAATGAGTTATGTGTTCCTGAAAAAACACGGGGCTCCAATTAGGAAGCCATTAAAACTGAAAATAAGGAATTACCTTAAAGTACTATATAACCATCTTTCACGATGTAACGTATGTAAGGCCAAACAGGATAATTAAGACAACGTGTAATACAATTTATTACAAATTGCACATCACACAACAATGATATGGTGCTCTAAACAACAAAAATCAAAAGTATATGATCAAAGCAAACGTGAATTTCCCATGGGGTTCAGGTCTAAACATTTGGTACATATTACATGTATGGGTTCCTAGTATTAAGAACGTATTAATGTCCTCCTAAAATGTTTAAAAACTAAATATGAGATTAATGTTGATCTATTGAAAATAGGAGAAAATTCGCAGAAAATCACAAATTTTTGGTTGAAGCATTAATTAATTTCTCATGGGGCCAGGGTCTCAAAATTTGGTGCATATTTGGGGTATGGGTTCCTCGTATTATGAAGTAATAAAGAGTCCTCCCAAAATAATTATTATAAAAAATAGAAACATATAATACCAGGAAAATAGAGATGTATTGTATTGTATATGAAATAACCCAATTTTTCAGTCGAAGCGTGGGTAAATTTCCCATGGGATTTGGGTCTCAAAATTTGATGTATGGGTTCCTAAGTATTATGGAGTAATAAAGAGTCATCCAAAAATATTTATTATGAAAAGACATCTACCATTCTATACCAGGAAAATGGAGATGGCAATTTATCGAAAATAGCAAAAAATCATGAAATAACCGAATTTTTCAGTCGAAGCGTGGGTAAATTTCCCATGGGATTTGGGTCTCAACATTTGGTGTATTAGTTCCTAGTATTATGAAGTAATAAAGAGTCCTACAAAAATGTTTATTATGAAAAAATAGAAACATATTATACCAGGAAAAGGGAGATGACAATTTATCGAAAATAGCAAAAAATCATGAAATAACCGAATTTTCAGTCGAAGCGTGGGTAAATTTCCCATGTGATTTGGGTCTTAAAATTTGGTGTGCAGGTGTTTTAGGTCATGGACAACAGTAAGTGAAATGAGGAAGATGATCTGAAACAAAGTTGGTTTTTCGCCATATTTTGGACCACCCTATTGAACAACTTAACATTTAACGTCATTTCAAATATTCTCGATTTTTGCCACTCGAAGTCTATCCAGATGTATTCGTTGCCATTTCGATAATGGCTGATTTCTGTTATTCATGTTAGTTATTTGGTATGTAGATGTAACAGTGCATCGGACTAGTAAAAGGTGTTAGTCTGGGTCACGTTTCTTCCAAATCGGACCTTTAACGCCATTGTGTCTTTTTGCCAACACGAGGGGAAAGTACCCGCCTATATACAACCTACCGCCGAGCAAAGACCGAATATATCTGAAAATGTAGGGGATAAGTTAATAAACTCCTGTTTATATATTGAATTTCTCAATATGAGAAATAGATAAAACACAGAATTGTTTGTAACCGATATAGTTGTTGTTCAATGCACTCATGTTTGCAGACTAATGAGTACTTTGTGCAATATTTACTATCAACATAATATTATATAATAACAAGTAAACTATATACTCATAGCCGTAGGGACCGGGGGTTCGATGGGTTCGGACGAACCCCCGGTCGGGATTCCCCCCAAAAATATTTGTGGAAAATTCATTGCAATAACCAATAACATATATTCAATTTATATGACTAGTAGATAAAAATAGTAAATTTACACTTCTCTCCAAAAGATTGGCAACCTCAGGCACGGGGTGGGATTGTTTAATTTTGGGAAGACCCCGGAGCATTATGACATTATGCAAAGAAAAAATATCAATAAAAAGCTGCTCCATCTACAGTGAAATAAACAAATTGTCTTAATACTGATGAAAACACATTTTCTTTCAAATTTGTGCCCCTCCGTTTTGTTTTATTTCAAACAAAAAAATTCTTGCTAAGTCCCCGGGTCTGACAAGTCCTCAAAAGCAAATATTAAATAATAGAAACATTTTGAAATGAGTTATTATTAAAAGCATATGTATCATTTATAAACACAAGTATTTGATCGAATGGGTATTTATTATCCATCACTTTTTAAGGAAAAATAAATCGATTGCGAAAAAATCAGTTTTGCTTTTTCAGATGCACTTTCATCTCGGAGATCATTTTAAGATTAAAATGCTGCTGTTTCAGTGTATTAAGTATTTACTCTATTTTCAAGAATATCAAACTTTAGTGGATCGCGTTTATGACATTAATTATAATATGTTTAGCAAATAAATGGATTAAGGGAGGCAATTAGGTGAGTATGTCTGTGTTACTAGATACAAGTGTAAAAGGTACACACATTACGTGCAGTGGAAAGTTCTGTCCAATAAAAAGGTCAGATGCAGTCATCTTTTGCTGAGGAAAGCAAAGGCGTAAGGAGGATTATATCAAATAAGTCTAGATTTATTATTTCAAATGAGTATTACATTCTCACAGTTATATGGTGTTTAAACTGCTTCTTTATTCGGTACATTAAATATTCCATGAATACCAAATAAAACAAACAATTTACCAAACCTTTACCAAATCTATCGAATGTTTTTTATTTTATCGAATGTAATAATCTATACAATTTATATTCGCTAAATAGTTTCACTTGTTCTTTGTGTTGGCATTCACATTTGATATTTATACACAGTGTACATGTATTTGTGTGATGCAGCGAATCTGTTTGTTTTCCTTAACGCACGTATAATTCAATTAATTATTTGTACATTCGGTATATAAATTATTTATATTCGGTAAATACCGAATGCCACATTCGATAAATTTCATTATTTTTCGATACTTTACGAGACTTTCAGTCACGTGATATATTTGAACGATGTAGAATAGCTGCGCGGCCATTTTGCAAATCTCGAGGTCACGTGACAAAATATCGAAAGTTATCGAATATTACTTTATTGCATTCGGTAAATAGCAAATTAGCTTTCGGTAAAATGCATTAACTATGTCATAGAAAAATAATCCATTCGGTAAATATAGGCAAACTTATTTTGGTAGGGTTCAAATAGAAATTCAATAGTGTGCATATAATGTGTTACTCTTAAGAAATACCTTAACAATTTACGCAAAAAAACATATAATTTAGCGAATGAAATATGTAATTTAATGAACATGGTATTAAGTTATTGGCTATTTTGAAAACTTAATTTGCTGTAACAAACATATAAACGTTTTTACCGAATGGAAAATGATTTAGCGAATATTAATATTTCATATATCGAATATATTTGAATTTAATGAATAAAGATGCAAAAATAATGCCATACAGTTAAGGGAAAAAGTTCATAATAAAAAATATTAAAAAATCACATGGTGTACCAATATGCATTGCTTCCTGATAATCACTTTTTATTTTCTAAAAAACTGATCCACTGATAATCACCAGCGGATTAAAAAATTCAACAAAAGAGGTAAAAAAATGGGAAAATTTGGAGGCATTGGAAGTGAAATCAAATTACATTTTAATCAATATTATAAGTATTTTCCCCGCAGGTTATGTAAATAAAAATTCAAATATAAAGAGGAGGCAGGGAGCTTAGGTTGCCAAACTTTTGGAGGGAGTGTACTTGCCAGAAAGACAGAGGATTGGCCTACCACAAGTTTCAAATCGTGTGTCTAAAAAGATTTGGCAGCATTCTTGAATAAAATAATAAAACGTTAATTTCTCAAAAACAAATCAAAGTCTATAATGATTCACAAGTTCATCTAAAATGTTTTCATTTCTCAAAACATTCATGATTCTCGTCATTAATGATAAAAACAGCGGAACGGTGATAGAATGTTTCATTCCATATGTAATACAATACTATTTGTCATCTGTCACTTCTATCGTCAGTACCAATTGAGAGTATTCGTGCAGCCATTACGACTTTTATTGTGCGCCATGATTTAAATAAGTATTACATTCTTCAAAAATATTTGCTATGGATATACTAGTTTTCAGTAAATAACTGTAAGTTCATGAGGTCTTACAAAATGAAATATAAATAAAATTCTTTTGATTTGGATTCTTTTCAAAAATCATCTAAAAGTGTGGGAAAATAGCATGTGTCTGAATATCTTTGAATGAACTCTAAAGCATGAATTGGGAATGACGATTTATCAATGGTAGCTCGTCAAAAACATGTTCCTTAGAGATATGTTATAATTTCCCCTTAACAAAAGTTGGCTCAATGTATGCTAACCCTTGATTTGGATTCCATTGAACAATTAAACAAGTGCAGTAAAATTTAAATGTATGATTTTGCTACCAGATTTCAATATCTTTTCAGTAAAAGATTCACCAAAAACTATTTCAACATAAATTGTTGCCAAACTTTTGGAGGGGTGTACATTGTATGTATGACAAATACAAAAAATGCTTTTTTGTGAGGTACACCGATGAAGGGGAAGATTTGTGGATACATAGAAAATCGAACCCCTGGTCACCATTTGCTGGCTACGCCACTGATACTTTACTTGTAACAATAACAACTAAATCCTATCTTGATTTGATGCCCATATCACTAGATTGGAAGAATGTTTTGCTGACCTACTTTATGGAAACAAATATATAAAACGGTTTATGAATCTTATGATAGCAAAATGCTGAGACCATTTTTCTTGTCTATAAGTATACATACAGTGTCAAAGAAAATGTGAAAGTATAGTGCTATTACTGCATGAGAATTTTAAGAAATTTCCAATCATTTTCGTCATCTTATTGGGGGGGGGGGGGGTAATATGATAAAACAAAACTACATGTATAATATATGCACTATCTATACCTGGACCTTCAGAAGCTAAAATGAAACTTTTAATTAAAAAAAAAATTTCCAATCATTTTTTAAATCTTATTTTCAATAATATGACAAAACAAGACTTTATGCACCATTAAAATGTATTTCCTCACTAAATACCACTTCTAAAATGGATTTTACACAATTTCAAAGCTCGAGCCAAACACCAAAGGAAGTCATATAAAGAAACATACTTTAAAATCATTTTTATCTATTTTTTTATAAATAACCCCCTTCCCGCTTGGTAGGGGTGGAGGTCAGAGGCTAAAGAATCCGTTAAGACCACTCCGAATCATCTGCACCATCATTTTTCACTCAGATCAAGTGTTTTACAACTGTGCCGAGTTTTTTGCTTTCCTAAAAAAAGTTTAACTATAAAGGGATTATTCCTGGACATCTGACTCCGCTAAATGACTTTTTAATCCTATTGTGACTTGTCACCTGATGAGTTCATACATAGACCCAGGGTGATAGAAATGATTTTCAAATAAAGATGACAGTGCAATCAATCTGGTTTACCTAATATAATGGAATTCTACCATTGCTGCCATCTTTAGATTGGTCTTAAGTATATGGATGTGCAAGCGCACTACTTAAAGCGCACTACTTTCTACGCTCGGCGCTCTATGTTTACAGCCTCACTTTATGTTTGGGTTATTGTGGTTGTTAGCCATTCCTGTTCAATGGTTCTACTTTTACATAGAATGGCTTCGTTTGAAAGGTGATAGCATTCGTGAAGGTCTTCAGGTCACATGACGGAATATTATCCTTGTCAACAGGGACGAATCTAAACTTGTGCATCATATTTGTGACAAATAGAAAAATTCTGTCCAATGCTATTTTGTCGCCAGGGCATGATCTTTTCCCAATTCCAAATGGAAATAATCTGCAATTTAAATGAGGGTCGATAATGATATGATATTGCAGGGTGCCCCGAGAGTCCCCGAAAGCCTCTCCCCTAAGCAGACATCATATACCAATGTGATCATAGTATGTGTCATATATCAGTTTAACGCTTATACAAAGTATCATGGTTCATAGTATGCCAAATATCATGGTTCAACTCACAAATCTTAATTTTCAAAATGAAATCTACGATTTCTGTTTTTTTTTTTCTTGCAAAAAATGTGGTAATAACTCACGATTTGACATCTGCTAGCTTGTAAGCCTTGCCATCACCGTCCAGAAATCTTTCTGGCTTGAAAGTAAGGGGGTCGGAGAAGTAACGGGGGTCATGCTGGGCTCCCCATACATTCGTCCAAATCTGTTATTTTGAATTTTACAGAAAATTGGTTATTTGAAACCTATTTTTAAGATGTGACTTCACTAAATATGTATACAAGTTGAAATATTATATGTAGAAAGGAAAAACCTATAACATTACAAAATTGCTCAAACAAGACATCAAACCCGACATCTCTTTCCTCCACCACATATACAACATGATCAAAGACATGAAAAAGCAGCTATTCCTTGACGAGCGTCTGTCTGATTTCTTAATATTTTCCCTAGTATCCATTTCAGCCAAATGTATGCATCATTTCTGCCTTGATTGACAAGCCAGGTTAATATACATGCATGAGTATAAGATATTAACATGATAATTACACAAATTATTGCCACACAAAACATGATATATGCAAATGAATACCCGTGTATCTTTAGGTAATTTTTATTGCCCGAGACTTGTATCACATGTGGTCTTATGGGCAATGCACAATGGAGCCGGGGACATAAATCGAAAGTTCTCCAATATTACTGCCTCTGTGAATGGCAGTTTTTCACGGTCAGCGAGAGTTGGAGATTTGTCTGCAGGGATTACAGCTTGTATCTCCGCAATAAGTCTCTCTTGGACATCCGGGTAGTTAAGCATAAGCAGGATGAAACAGTCAAGGTGTGATTTGGTTGTCACAGTACCTGGAACAGCGTTAACATCACAGGGATTTTAAAATGACTCTAATAATTCACGTTAATATAAATCCAAGTCATTACATCATGGAGGCTACATTCGCATTACCCTACTCCGATACTGTAGCCTATATTTCCTTAAAAGGGATACAGGCTACAGTGAAGTTGCAAATGGAGGACGTTTGTTTATTTCCATACTTTCAAAGGTATACATTCCATGTGTTCTACTATACATTGTATAGATTCATCGCGCAATTTACATTGTATTATTACTAGAAAAGCCATATAAACAAGGATAGAGAATATCCGCTCCATTTGCATTTTCACTGTAGCTTGTATCTCCCTTTAAACGTGGTCACGTGGTAGGGTAGTGTAATGAAGTGGACGTGGGATAACATTGAAATATTGTCCCTGTCCAAACCATACTTTTGAGCTATATGATTGCCCATATGTGTTAACCAATATAAACTAAAACTGGGAGACGAGAAAGGCAAAATAACATGGGTAGTCACGATATATTATATTCACACGTAGCTTAATAGGGCTTAATGAGGAACTGACATGCTTTTAAACTAAACATCTAGGAGAGTTTCACCTGCTAGGTTGGTTTCAAATAATGCACCATTGACATTGTCCATATCTATGAGTCCACCATCATAAGCTGTCAGTAGTGTGCCTAGTACAGTTGTTATGCGTTTGGTATCCTTCGAGTTTGATTCGGACTGGAACACATATAAATACATCACGTGACATCAGTGTCATTTGATCTTGGTATTTTAGGTTATACATTCGCAACATGTTATCATACTCATATGAGCATCTACGATTGTCTACAAGTTATCTTGGCGGCCGGGATTCAGAGTTGCCGCCACTTTCACTGCCTTGGAATGATTCAAACATGGTCGCGCCACTTTTCTCGAAAAGTACTAATTTCATTCCTCTTTGCCAAGCCTACGTGTGTCATTATCAATTAAAATTGTACATGTCGCCAAGTGAACAATAATGTCTTGAAATTTTTGGGAAATATTTAGTTAAATTTCGAAATGGCCATCGGTTTAATTGTCAAAACTATATGTTTTTACCCGTTTTGGTCATAAGCTAGAATTTTTTTATCTTTGTTTTTATAAATTATATGGTACCTTGGATCTAAATCTATCAATCCATGACTTAAAGATGTCACTACCAACTTTGTTCATTTCCATCAAACCTCTGTAAGACCTCGTGCCAAAGTGACGCAGCCATGGGAAGATGTCCAACTCCTGACCACTCCCTTGTGCCATGTGTTCCATTCCACGCTGCATCTTCTCTACAGCGACGAAATCATCCTCTATGAAGTCCACAAGTATCTGTCATTTACAATAAAAATAAGTATTTTAAGAACTGAGCTAAAGGCATAGAGCATTTGTTTTTATCAGTCTTTAATTGTTGTTAGCCCTATCCCGGGCTGTCTATTTTTTAAAAATCCACAAAGTGCATACTTTTATTCCGAAAAAACTAAAGGTTTTCAAAAAATGCATTATTTTTCTATTTTTATGGTTATCACTTTTGTTATTTTGAAGAATTGAAACATTTTTCCCATTTTCACACTTTGAATCCTTAATAGCTTCATTCATATCAAATTGCGGGTCTTTTGGAGATAATGTATTTGAGACTCAGATCATAAGAAAAGAATTGGCATGCCAATTGTACATATTGCGTGCAATTTTGACACCCATTATACATCTGATTCTGCATTCTATGCTTAGAAATTGAGTTACACCTCTACCAGATGTTTTAACATAGACTTTATTTGGAAAGCACGAACTTTATGCAACCTTTCCAGAGAGGTAAGAATCAATCTTTTCTCGTAAAACTTGTACAATCAATCAAAAAAATTGAAATTCTGAAAAAGCAACTGAAATCTTGTTAATCACGGTGGAATTTTTGATCACGATTGAATATTTCTTCATTTGATCAAGTAATTATGAGGGGATGCATATTTTGTGTTACCCTGAATTCAATGCAAAATGTTTAGAAGTATTTTTGAGAGTGAGTTAACATGGTAACCAGCCAACTCATCCCCTAGACAACTCATCCCTGGACAACTCATCCCCTAGACAACTCATCCCCTGGACAAGTCATCCCCTAGACAAGTCATCCCCTAGACAAGTCATCCCCCAGACAAGTCATCCCCTGGACAACTCATCCCCTAGACAACTCATCCCCTGGACAACTCAGCCCCTGGATGACTAATCTTTTGGCATGTTTGAGTATAGTAATTTAATATCATATTACCAATACATATTTGATTTTCAAATGATTTTTAAATGTTTTGGTTGTGGATATGGTCAGCTTTAAGTTTCAAAAAACATATATTACATGAACACTGTTACTCCACTCAATTACGCTGTTGATCCATTTGGGTAACAAAATGTTGGAGCCTCGAAGGTATATACGATTTTTCTTTTTTCCTTATTTCACGAGTTGTAGGCTGAATTCCCATGACATCTCGTATGTCTAGCTTTTGAAACTTTATGTAAACGGAACTTCTAAAGCGGTTAAGATCTGCACTTCTAACCCGTTCCGTTTATGCATGGGCTTTCAATTAGATATGGTTTATGTAACAATAGTGAGGTATTAAATCAATGATTGTGGTGTCTTCTGTACTATTTGTTTGCAAACATGTACATTTTCTTAAACATATGATACAGACAAACGTTTGTGATAAAAATGTCGTGGGAATTCTGCCTGCAACACCAGAATTAGGTAAAAATCAAAATCGATCGTTTCTTTGAGGTTCCGACATTTTGTTACGATCCGTTTCAGTAACCAGCATAATCTATTGGAGTACCAGTGATTAACAAAAACTTTCTGGAGGGGAAAATTGCTAAAAAAACAAAGAGATAATCAACCAATTAATCTGTGATTTGTTTTGTAAATATTTACTTTTCATTTCGATATGATATTAATTAACCAGAGACATATAAAACATTATATGTCTCTGTATTAACATTGATTGAACAAGTTCTATTGATGTTATAATATGTTTGTTGTTCATAGCTCAATTATTCTTTAATCCAAAGATTATTTTTTCACAGCATTCACAGATGAAGTTAATGAAGTTCATGTTTAAGTTATACACAAAGAGAACTTTATTTGTTTGGTCAGGAAATATTGAGTCATGTAATTTAAGAAGAAGAGATGAGCGTTTTAATGACATCGTTTGACTGTTTATTTGTGTCAGTAAAGTGAAAAATAATATTTTGAATGATCTAAGATGTATTTACTAAGCATTTCTTTTCAAGACACACTTTACAATTTAGCTTCATGTGATGAAGGATGAGTTGTCCAGGGGATGAGTTGTCCAGGGGATGAGTTGTCTAGGGGGATGAGTTGTCCAGGGGATGAGTTGTCTAGGGGATGAGTTGTCCGTAAGCCGTTAACATTACGTTATTGATATAATGGGATAAACCATGTATCCAGTACGTAATTACCTTTATATTGCATGTTTGTCAAATATGTGAGAAATAAAGGTTAAGCTAAGTCAAGCTTTAAAAGTGATTAAATGCTCAAGGTCTAAAAAACTTACCAAATTCAAAGCGTATTTCGTGATACACCGATCTAGGGGAGTAATTGGATTGAACGCTTCACCATTGTGTGACAAAAACTCTGCGATGCATTCTTTTATCGAGTCCATAGATAAATCAACAATACGATTAGATGCTTCTCCATACTGTTTGAGTCCTTGAACAGCAAGTTTTCGCATTAGCTTCTGCGATTCGTTGAAATCTTGAAAGGCGACAGCTTTATCGCCGCCAGGAATTACAAAGGTGAAACGCCAAGATTTTGGTCGTCCTGCAAAATCATCTGACTTTGTCATCATGATCGTTTCATAATCGCTACAAACGACAACTTCTTCTCTGAAAAGTTGGAGTTTGAAGACACTTCCGAATTCTTTCGCCCAATTTTGAATCTGAATATATGGTATATCTTTGGAGAGTTGTAGCGCATTTCCTAATAAGGGAATGCCTTTTGGTCCAGGTATGTCTACATTCCGCCGTCTGAATAGGAATGCAATCAGAAAAAATATTCCTACAACCAATGAGCCTGTGATTAGTACAACTGCCATCTTGGAACTAGCTAGTATGAGAAGGTAGAAGAAATGTATATGATAAAAAATTATATCTCACGTTTTACCCGTCTGTCTCGGTCAGAGTGTATCCGAAACGATCATACTTTTTATAACATTGTATAACACTTCTAATACGCGTATAACATATTAAGTTAACACAATCTGAACTAATATACCAATCTGACAGTATAAATCATGCTTAAACTTCATTTATTGTTACATTCCACATAATACATGGAATTCTTTTATGTTTTTAATGGGACAAATAGAGAAACTATATGATCTTTCAAGCAATAATTCACGCTGCCTGTACGAAGATGTACAAAGATCATTTTGGAATAAGTCATCTGAAATTTCATATGTTTGTGCCATAATAACCTTTATCCATGTTGGATTTTCAATCAATCCTTATACCCCGCGGGTTTATCTGTCACGCTTAATTTGGTACAGCCCCTGTGGTCATCCACCTGATGTATCAATAAGCTTAGGCGGTAGAAATATTTTTAGTATAGATGGCAGGGTAATCAATCACGTGTACCTGGAATTCTACCACTGCCGCCATCTTTAGATAGGTCATAAACGTAGGAATGTTTCAGTTTTCTTAGCGCATATATACTTTAAAAATAATTACGAGTGGCGCTCTAGATATAATAACAAGATATGTTTACAGGCTCACTTATATTTTTATTGTTACCCATTCTAGTTCAATGGTTCTAAACAGAATGGAGACGACTGATAAGTGATAACAGTGTTGAAGATAGGCCTTAATTTACAGGCTCACTTATTTTTGTCATTGTTACCCATTCTTGTTTAATATGGTTCTACTTTCAAACAGAATGAAGGCGATTGATAAGTGATAACAATGTTGAAGATAGGCCTTAATTTACAGGCTCACTTATATTTGTCATTGTTACCCATTCTTGTTCAATGGTTCTGAACAGAATGAAGGCGACTTATAAGTGATAGCAATGTTGAAGATAGGCCTTAATTCACAGGCTCATTTTATATTTGTCATAAGATTGTTACCCATTCTAGTTCAATTGTTCTACTTTCAAACAGAATGGAGACGACTGATAAGTGATAGTAGTGTTGAAGATAGGCCTTAATTTACAGGCTCACTTTATATTTGTTATTGTTAGCCATTCTAATTCAACGGTTCTTCTTTCAAACAGAATGGAGGCGACAGATAAGTGATAGCAATTAATGTTGAAGATAGGCTTTAATTTACAGGCTCATATTATATTTGTCATTGTTACCCATTCTAGTTCAATGGTTCTACTTTCAAACAGAATGGAGGCGATTGATAAGTGATAGCAGTGTTGAAGGTCTTCAGCTCACATGACGGAATATTATTCTTGTCCGCGGGGACGAATCTCAATCTGTGCATCATATTTGAGACAAATAGAAAAATCCTGTCCATCCCTATTTTCTCGCCAAGACATGATCTCTTTCCAACTCCAAAAGGGAATAACCTGCAATTCAAAATGAGGCTCGATGAATTATTTTAGAATGGCGATCACACGGTTCAAGACATATACTTCATACGTATGTTAGATTCATATTCCATATTAGAAAATGATACAATAAAAGCAATAATCTTGATATTTGAGCAATACTCTACTCGAGAAATCAAAGTAAAAACAATGATAATCATTCCTTGTGTAAGCCTTTGCAAGGCTAGCAGTTTGCACTAGAATGGTAATAGTAAACTTACGATTTGACATCTGCTAGCTTGTAAGCTTTGCCATCACTGTTCAAAAATCTCTCTGGCTTGAAAGTAAGCGGGTCAGTGAAGTAGCGAGGGTCATGATGGGCTGCCCATACGTTTGTCCAAATCTGTAATTTTGCGAAACCGACACGTTGTCACTATGGTCAATGCTACCTGCGTACTATACCCGGGGTACTATACACCATGATCTAAAACATCAACAAGTAAAAATCTATACCTTGATTTCCTTTTGATGTTTTGTGTATCTCTCTCAGCCATGTGTAATAAATTAATGTTTTGATAACCTCCAGCTGCATAGCTAGAGGTTACTGACACAAGGGTCCAAATAAGTCCTCTTTCTTTTCCAGGAAGGAAAGCTTTGGCCCTAATGCGGTGGATCAACAGTGAATTATTACTTTTAGAATTCTTATTTAGATAAGCAAAATTTAGACATTGCCAGGACATACATTTAACCTTGCCTCTCAAAGCCAAGGTTAGGGAAGAAGGAGTATCTAGAATCCAAGAGGGAAAGAAAGGAACTGCTGCAAACTACTTTTGACAACACAACCAAAATTAGAACTAAAATCCCATCTTCACTAATCTCACTTTCTCTTTCATTTTAGCCAACAGGTAAATCGTAGGTATTTTATCCGAGAATTGTGACTCTTAATGACTTATAACACATTGATTTCGTAACTCACTTCAAGAAATAGGTCGTGATAACTTTTACTCTGCTACATGTAATAAAAACGTTAACGCGTGAGTATCAATAGGATTACACAAAACTGATTGCTTAACAAAATAATGTACATGCAAGTGGATACCTGTGTGTCTTTGGGTATTTTATATCGCCTGAGAGTGGTATTACATGTGGTCTTATGGGCAACGCCCAATGGAGCTGGGGACATGAATCGAAAGTTCTCCAATATTACTGCCTCTGTGAAGGGCAGTTTTTCACGGTCAGCGAGAGTTGGAGATTTGTCTGCAGGAATCGCAGCTTGTATCTCCGCAATAAGTCTCTCTTGGACATCCGGGTAATTAAGCATAAGCAGAATGAAACAGTCAAGGTGTGCTTTGGTAGTCAAAGTACCTGGAACAGCGATAACATCACAACGATTGTAAAATGACATTAATAATTTATGTACTGGGTGGGAAAAGACCTGGAAACTCTTATGCCATTTCCTCATACATTTGTCATTTCAGGACATAACTCCCTGATATTTTACATATTTGTACATCATTCAGTTTCCTATCAGCCTATTTTATTTCATGGCCATCAGATTAATAACAGCACTTTAAAGAACATGCCCTGGTGGCTGCAGGGAAACCTGCATACATCGTCCAAAATGTCCCTACGTGTGGGGATATGGCAGAGATAGAGTGTATGAGAATGACCTGAGGACAATTGTAGACCTCAAAAGTGAGACCATCCGTGTCATTCAGGCCATACCTGCTGAGGAATGCATTCGGCTCATTGACAACTGGCAGATTTGCCCACAACGCATCGATGGCCAAACCTGACGCATGTTGTTCAAAGTGCTGTAACATTGTGACTATCACCCTGATGGTCATGCAATCTGGTAGGGTGGTAGGAAATTTGATTCTGTACAATTTGTGAAATATCAGGGAGTAATTCTAAAAACGAAAAAGATATGAGCAAAATGCAGGGTTTCCGTTTTTGACCACCCTGTACAAATCCCAGTCATAATATTTGGGAGGCTTACTTGAGAAGAAGGGGAAATGGGATACGATAAAAATATTGATCTCGCCCAAACGATATCTCTTGGCTATATGATTGTCCATATATTTTCATCAATATATACTAAAAATGCGACGAGAGACGGGAAGGGCAAAATATCTAAACGCTACTTCTTGGTTATTCGATTGGCCATATATTTTTACCAATATGAATCAACGACGAGGGGCGAGAAATGCAACATAACTTGTCCAAACAATACTTCTTGGCTGTATGGTTGTCCAGATGTGTCAAACCGATATGAACCAGAACTTCGACCAAGGACGAGGAACTGGCAAATTTTTAAACAATGGAGAGTTTCACCTGCTACAGCGGTTTCAAAGAGTGCACCGTTGACATTGTCCATATCTATGAGTCCATCATCGTAAGCTGTCAGTAGTACGCCTAATACAGTTGTTATGGATTTGGTATCATTCGAGTTTGATTCTTCGGACTGGAACGTGATAAAAAATACTTCACGTGAGATCACCATCACGTGACCATTTATAATTATATATACGTAGTTTTGTAAAATTCCCCAAATTGTACATGCCGTTAAATGACAGTATAGTAGTGTTAAAAGGTTAAAAAGAGAAAATATATCACTATTTAAAATATTTATAACTTTTATTATCAAAAACATGTAAATTGGTCCGTTTTTGTCATTTAAACCCAGAAGTATTAATCAATTCGCATAAATAAAATTGTTTTTTTCTGTGAACTAAATTCACATCTTTTTATTTTTTTTCATATCGTACCTTGGATCTATATCTGTCAATCCATGTCTTACAGCTGTCACAGCCAGCTTTGTTCATTTCCATTAAAACTCTGTAAGACTTTGTGCCAAAGTGACGCAGCCATGGGAAGATGTCCAACTCCTGGCCACTCCCTTGTGCCATGTGTTCCATTCCACGTTGCATCTTCTCTACAGCGACGAAATCATCCTCTATGAAGTCCACATTTTCTCCAAGCATCTGTCATTTACAATAAACTAAGTACGTTAAGGAACTGGGTTAAATTCGGCATGGAGCATCGGTTTCTCTGTATTATGTACAGTATATTGTGTTACATTGAAGAGATTTGAATGCAAGTAGATCAAGGGTGATGTATTCACCAAATCTGCGGTAGTTTTTTTTGCGAAGGGACATGGAGGGCAAAGTAAATTTAATTTTCATCAAGACACACAGTGATACATATCGCACTTTAAATAGCAAAATTTACCCAATGCTCCACACACCTTATCCGATTTTGAAACTAGTCTGCTTTTGCATCTGTAAAAACTTCAAACTGAACAGTTTAACATTTAACGTTTTTGGAATTTTGAAGACAAGAACTGATTTAAGTCTCGAACTATAAAAAAAACATTAAAAATTGCTCTTTTAAGATCCCATTGGGTCTCCGAAAGGATTAGCCCCCGAAGATATCTAGAAAAAACTGTACAGGATATCAAAGAATAGACTTTGTTTGATAATCAGATCCAAAAATTAGGTCATTCTGACATTTATATTTCAAAATATAGGTCATTCTATTAACATGTATAAAATGACCTTTTCAAGGAAAAATCATTTTTTCACATCATTTTTGTCAATGTTTCTATTTATTATCAAAGTAATCATTATTTTCAGTCATTTAAGACTTTTCAATTGATCCTGTTGCTATTATCTTACATAATAGTGACAAAGCATATTGGGCAACATTCGAAAACATAGAATATAACAAGTCAAAATACAAACAAAATATTGAAAAGTGATCTTCTTTATACTTCATTTAGAACAATTGTCTACAAAAAAAGTTTGCGAAACTATGTTCAGAAAAGAATATTGTGTTTTTTTAATTTACATCAAAATGAGAAAGAACAAGGGACAACATTTAAAAACACATGAAGTAATTAACAAGTCAAAAATGCATATCAATCAATTGCATATTGATCTGCTTCCTTGAGATCATTTGCACATATGTAGTTTGTGGCAGTAAAATACTGAATTTATTATTTCACATCACAGTGAGGAAGCACAAAGAGCAACATTTGAAAACACATGGACTTTACATAACTGTTGAAGAGCACATTCATGAGTTTGTTCATTATAATAAGGGATTCTCTGAGCTATCATCATCTTCTTCAGATGACAACATTTCATACATATCTTTCGATTTTAAAATGTCAAACTCCGTGCATTTCTTTTTGCTTTTATACCCCTTGTGCCTACAGCCCTACTCCCAACAAGGCATGTACAACACCATCCAGTGATTGCAACAATACTATTACATACATCTGGATCTGGGTTATACTCCACCCATGTATAATGAGATTTAGAGGACACAAACCGATTACTGGACTTTCACACAAATTAGGCCATATGTATTTCTTTTAACAATGATGGTATATTTCCCATCTACTTGAAGATGGTCATCTGTGCATCGTTTAAATTGGTTGGCTTGATCTCAAGAGAGTCTACTATGATTTAGATGTAACCCTCTTGTCTCCATACAGGGGGTACTGGGAGATTGCAGTTCACTCACGCAGTTCCATTTGCTTTGGGTATTTTATTAGCAAATGTCGTTTTTCCGCCTACTGATTGTGACTTACAGTATATTTCTTCTGTACAATAAAGTTGTACAACAATCATCTCATATGAATGTATTGAAAGGAATTGCATGTTATTATGTTGCTTAGAGCCATGGTAAAGATATATGCTTCTCAAGAGGTCATGCTCCAGTGCAAGCATACTGTACATAATAGTTCATGAAAAGATCATATGAATAAAGAAAATATACTCAAATATATAAAACACAACTGTCACAATCATTCTAAGGATTTTCAAAATGGCTGACATCATTTTATTTCATGCTGAAAATTGCAGAAGAGTTCCATTTTTTGCACAACGCTTGGTCCTTACATAGATTTTTACATATCTCAAGAAGTACCTTAGAGGTACACTATTCCCTCAATACATATAACTTTCTAGGTAACACCCCAGTCACATTTCCTACGGCGACCTTGCGGTCTATCATTTCTGCGGCCAGTAGCTTTTCTACGCTCGCCGCAGAATTTCTGCGCTCTCATACTTTTGCAGTCACATTTCCCACGGCAGCCGCACGGTGAATTTTAAATTTCTATTGATAAATAATAGTTTTTTTCATTTTATTTACATCAGGACAATTTATAAATGTTATTCAAAGTGCTAGGATGTAATATCAAATGAAAAGTGATCGTGAAACATTGACAAATAATGATTCAATCTTGTTGAGCCAGTTGATTTCTAAGGGGACCTCAGAAATGAACAAATATTATAACTCCGAGTTATAATTTCTACGCCTTCCCTGCGGCCTGTAAAAATCTGCATACGCCGTACGGAGGCCGCAAGGCGAGCGTAGTTTTTCTACGCTCGCCGCAGAAATTCACCGATTTAATTGTTCTGCGGTCGACTTGCGGCCGCCGTGCGACAAATGTGACTGGGGTGTGACACCCCAGTCACATTTTCTACGGCGACCTTGCGGTCTATCATTTCTGCGGCCAGTAGCTTTTCTACGCTCGCCGCAGAATTTCTGCGCTCTCTAATTTTTGCAGTCACATTTCCCACGGCAGCCGCACGGTGAACTTTAAATTTCTATTGATAAATAATATTTTTTTTCATTTTATTTACATCAGGACAATTTATAAATGTTATTCAAAGTGCTAGGATGTAATATCAAATGAAAAGTGATCGTGAAACATTGACAAATAATGATTCAATCTTGTTGAGCCAGTTGATTTCTACGGGGACCTCAGAAATGAACAAATAGTATATACACGTCGCACGAAACTGGGGACAATTAGAGTAACATTATGGCGTCAAAATACCAAAACAATACAATGGGCAGTATAGGGCGCAATCAGCATTATAACGTCAAAAACGACAAGCGTTACATTTTGTCAAGTTTAGTCAACCTAAAAATAAGATGCTTTATTCTTATTCAATCCTGATAAAATTAACAGAGCAACAAGATCTCGAGGACAATATTTCTAAAATGTTTTTGATTTTTGAAAAACGGTCAGGAAGTCCACTCGGGGTGTTAGTAAAAATTGATATGTATGGGATTTGTGGTAAAAAATCGATGCGTTACATTTTTTCAAGTCTCTAAAAGCAACTCTTATTCTCTTATTATTTGAAAAATAATGAAATCGGTTATTGTTTTGTAAATTTCGCCATGACAATATTGTGCAGTTAAATTTTTTTTGAAATCAGACCTAAATTAGAAGGTTAAATAAAGGTTAACTTATTGCTTGTCTCCCTCGCCTTCAAAACCTTACACAATTTTGAAAATCTTAAAAGCGTTCATATAAGACGATTTTAACTGTAGCCGCTAGACAATTGTGACGTCATAAAAGCACATGTTTCAATGAATAAAATGTGAAATTTTAGTAAAATTCTGATAAGTATTTCAAAAGTTATCCCGATTTCAACGAACCGTGTAAGCTTGAAATGTTACGCCTTACAGCGTATTTGACGATGTCGGAGTACATTTAACTTCAAAAATATGGTAAATCCTATCACACTTTCCATGGAAAAATAATTTCAGTGAAATGCGAATAAAAAATACTTCAAAATGATATATAATGCACATAGTTAGCTTTTTAAATAAGGCAGATATTAACGCTTAAAGTTGAGATTACCCCGTATTTCCCGAATTGTCCCCAGGTCCATGCACGTCATAATAACTCCGAGTTATAATTTCTACGCCTTCCCTGCGGCCTGTAAAAATCTGCATACGCCGTACGGAGGCCGCAAGGCGAGCGTAGTTTTTCTACGCTCGCCGCAGAAATTCACCGATTTAATTGTTCTGCGGTCGACTTGCGGCCGCCGTGCGACAAATGTGACTGGGGTGTTAGAACCAAGCGTTATATGAACAAAGCAAGAGTTTATCATGACCTTCCTCTATCAAAAAGAAGTAGGTCAACACAATTGCAAACAAAACTTATCCCTACTCAATGACTATTGAAATATGACTATTTATATGTACAAAATATAAATCCAATGAGTGTATAAAGTGACACAATCAAACAATGGGACATCTGCCAAGTTGGGTTTATACATTCTGGAGACATTTTCTGAGACTGATAAAAAATTCACATTTTCACAGGAAGTGATACATACCTCCCAAATCAACCAAAATATACTTATATCAGGAATCTTGAATGCTTTTTATTGCTATTTCTTGAAAATATACATACTTATCTACAATTTGATCCTACATATCAAGGATATTAACGACATTGCATTTTTCAAAAAATGTTAAGTGACCCCAGTGGTGTCTATAGCCATTCGTTCTTTAATTAATAATCACGTTTTGACCACTGAGGGTTAACTAAAGGTTAAATCTTAGGTCAGATTTAAACTCCTGACTTTTCAATAATTAAAAAAACTTAATTAATGAACAATGCCGAACGTTAAAAGTGATTGAAACTTACCAGATTCATAATGAATTTCGTGATACATCGGTCTAAGGGTATGATTGGATTAAACGCTTCGCCATTGTGTGACAAAAACTCTGTAATGCATTCTTCAATCGATTCCAGAGATATATCAACTATACGATCAGATGCTTCTCCATACTGTTTGAGTCCTCGTACAGTAAGTTTTCGCATAAGCTTAAGCGATTGGTTGAAGTCTTGAAAGAGTATAGCTTTATCGCCACCAGGAATTGAAAGAGTGAAACGCCAAGATTTTGGTCGACCTGCAAAATCATCTGACCTAGTCATCATGATCGTTTCATAATCGCTACAAACAACAACTTCTTCTCTGAAAAGTTGGAGTTTAAAAACATTTCCGAATTCCTTCGCCCATTCTTGAATCTGAATATATGGTAGGTCTTTGGAGAGTTGTAGCGCATTTCCTATTAAAGGAATGCCTTTTGGTCCAGGTATGTCTATCTTCCGCCATCTGAATAGGAATGCAATTAGAAAAAATATTCCTACAACTAATGAGCCTGTGATTAGTACAGCTGCCATCTTGCAACTATCTCGTGCAAGTGGTAAGAACATACGTACATGACGAAAATTGTCTAAAAGACACGTTTTAACTGTCTGGTGGGTCAAGGTTCGTCGTAAACGATCATACTAAACGCTTAACATTTTAGGTTAACACAATCTGACCTAATATCCGATCTGACTGTATAAACTTCAACTTCATCTATTGTAACATGTACGTACGCTTCTACTTCATGGGCTATTCATTTTTCTCATGGTTTTAAATGGAACAAATTGACATGGCTTACTTTTTATAGTGAGCATATACTCCAAGTCCACAGAAGGAATCAGAAATCAAAACTGTTCTCGATGTAAGACCAATATATGATGATTTTCAGATCTATTGAATCAAATAAATATTTACCCGAATTGGCCACTTTGTATGAACCTAGAAATAATTAATTACATACTGGCACATTGGAATAATATTGGAATAATATTTTCATTTAGTTTGGTATATTTGTGACGAAGTCATAGTTGACCTCATTTGTCAGTATGATTATTACGCGTTGCTTTTCCTTAAAGTGTCTCACATATTCGATCAAAATTTGCCATGCAAACATGTTAGTCTACTTTACTGGCCCCCCTTGCTGTAACAAGGAACCCAAAACACATTAAAACGTAAACATAAACCAATTAGTCACTTCACTATGAAAGTGGGGGTGTTAGCAAATGTATATTAGGCCATAAGAAGTAGATTCTTTGTTTTGCGTCCTGGCAAAATCCAAATCATGCAAGGGTACAAGGAAAACAAACACAAACTCAAGAAAAAACACAAACTTGTTTGCTGAGAAATATATACATTTTAGGGGCATAAAAAAGGATGACATCCCAATTTGCAGTGATTACAAACACATATCTATACATTTTATACAATATATAAAAATATAGCTATTATTCAAGGGTAAAAAAAAAGAAAAAACACAATGTATGTCAAATAATTATAACACTGTCAATTTTGACGCACATCAAATTATCCGCCATTTCATCTGATTCTGAAATGCGATGGTACTTTCAGACCCTTGTGATTGCTATTTGGATGTGTTTTTTTCTGATTTACTCAAAATCGTGCAAGCAAGGGGACGCAAAACAGAGGATCTACTTCTTATGGCCTTAGCAGAATACGCTATGTGCATGGACACAATATCAGTGGTCATTTACTGTGTCAACTTAGTAACCCTTGCATATCGTGCTCACTCAAGTATTGAATAATTTTTTATGATCTAAATGTTTTTGGTTTATAAAAAAAGTGATATATTTTAGTTAGAAATACATTAATTAATATATTCATTCAAACAGCACTAGAATGCGGGAAGAAAGAGCAATGGTGACAAAATGTAGACAGAATTTTCCGTAAGGGTTTCAAACATTTCTGGACACAATCATACATGTATATAGTGTACTGTTATTTTTAGTGCTGTATTTATAGATATAATTTCACGTATCAAAATCATATTTTCCAGCAATGACTTCAAATCCGGAACCACACCCATATCACATTTTCTTCAATAACTCCAAACATGTGTAAACATTGACCATGTGCATATAAATTCAGATTTCACGAGCTCTTTCATATTCGAGTACCTCATACACCCCTGCATGGATTTGAGTTGGATTCGCCTTTTATACGTGAGCCGACACACTCGCAAACGCTGATTGGATAAAGATTGCGAGAATCTTTAACTGACAATTCCGTCGCTACTACCCGTTCGATTAAATTGGAAACACGTGAAATGAGTAGTTGAAGATACCACTCACAGATGATACACATTTTCATATAATTCTACTCTATGTCTACACAAATAATACCTTAAAATTGTGATACTAACTTTTTTCATTTTTGGTAGGATTGTTTTTTCCTTTTCGGCATATAGATTCTGCAATATTTTGGCCTATTACTTCGTTTAGGGTGTGTTGACCGTAAAGAATTCACTCTACATTTACAAGTAAGTCATATTTTGACACGGCGTACTAGCTAGATCTTTGATGAAACTATTATACTGGTTTGTAATGTTAGTATTCCGGACAGGTTCAATGATGCAGTCATTTTTCACCATTGTTGCAATTACCACAAACAAGCATATTCACTGAAATTTTTATAATTTATTTTCGAGGCAATTTCCCACACGAAGATTAAATATTTGATAATAATTTGTAGTCTTATGATTTCAATAGGCACTAGTAGAATACTGAGAAAGTGTTTTGCTTGAACAACTTAACATTTAACGTCATTTCAAATATTCTCGATTTTTGCCACTCGAAGTCTATCCAGATGTATTCGTTGCCTTTTCGATAATGGCTGATTTCTGTTATTCATGTTAGTTATTTGGTATGTAGATGTAACAGTGCATCGGACTAGTAAAACGTGTTAGTCTGGGTCACGTTTCTTCCAAATCAGACCTTTAACGCCATTGTGTCTTTTTGCCAACACGAGGGGAAAGTATCCGCCTATATACAACCTACCGCCGAGCAAAGACCGAATATATCTGAAAATGTAGGGGATAAGTTAATAAACTCCTGTTTATATATTGAATTTCTCAATATGAGAAATAGATAAAACACAGAATTGTTTGTAACCGATATAGTTGTTGTTCAATGCACTCATGTTTGCAGACTAATGAGTACTTTATGCAATATTTACTATCAACATAATATTATATAATAACAAGTAAACTATATACTTTACTTGTAACAATAACAACTAAAATCCCATCTTGATTTGATGCCCATATCACTAAATTGGAAGAATGTTTTGCTGACCTACTTTATGGAAACAAATATATAAAACGGTTTATGAACCTTATGATAGCAAAATGCTGAGACTATTAGCTTTTTCTTGTCTATAAGTATACATACAGTGTCAAAGAAAATGTGAAAGTATAGTGCTATTACTGCATGAGAATTCAGATTCAGATTTTTAAGAAATTTCCAATCATTTTCAGCATCTTATTGGGGGGGGGGGGGGGGGTAATATGATAAAACAAAACTACATTTATATGCATCATCTTGAGAAAACTTGAGATGCAAATATTCTCGAGCCAATCACCAAAGGAAGTCATATAAAGAAACATACTTTAAAATCATTTTTATATTTTGTTTTGTAAATAACCCCCTTCCCGCTTGGTAGGGGTGGGGGTCACAGGCTAAAGAATCCGTTAAGACCCCCCCCCCCCGAATCATCTGCACCATCATTTTTCACTCAGATCAAGTGTTTTGACAACCTGTGCCGAGTTTGTTGTTTTCCTAAAAAAAGTCTAACTATTAAGGGCTTATTCCTGGACATCTGAAGTCGCTAATTGATCCTCGGCGCTCTATGTTTACAGGCTCACTTTTATTGTTGTTGTTAGCCATTCCTTTTCAATGGTTCTACTTTCACATAGAATGGCTTCGTTTGATAAGTGATAGCAATCGTGAAGGTCTTCAGGTCACACGACGGAATATTATCCTTGTCGACAGGGACGAATCTCAATTTGTGCATCATATTTGTGACAAATAGAAAAATTCTGTCCAATGCTATTTTTTCGCCAGGGCATGATCTCTTCCCAATTCCAAAGGGGAATAATCTGCAATTAAAATGAGGGTCGATAATGATATGATACTACAGGGTGCCCCGAAAATACGCCCCCCCCCCTAGGCAAACATCATATACCAATGTCTCTATGGTATGTGTCATATATCAGTTTAACGCTTATACAAATTAGTAACATTGATTTGCCAAGTATCACGGTTCAACTCACCAATCTGAATTTTCAAAAATGAAATCTACGATTTCTGTTTTTTTCTTGCTAAAAATGTGGTAATAACTCACGATTTGACATCTGCTAGCTTGTAAGCCTTGCCATCACCGTCCAGAAATCTTTCTGGCTTGAAAGTAAGGGGGTCGGTGAAGTAACGGGGGTCATGCTGGGCTCCCCATACATTCGTCCAAATCTGTAATTTTGAATACTCGAAGAATTGGTTATTTGAAACCCATTTTTAAGATGTGACTTCACTTAATATGTTTACAAGTTGAAATAAGGTATATGTAGAAAGGAAAAACTCAAAAGATGATAGATTTGGTCAAACAAGACATCAAACCCGACATCTCTTTACTCCACTACATATACAGCATGATCAAAGACATGAAAAAGCATTGACGAGCGTCTGTTTAATTTCTTTATATTTTTCTTGTATCCATTTCAACCAAATGTATGCATTTATGTCTTGATTGACAAGCCAAATTAAAAGAAATGAATAAGCATACGATATTACACAAATTATTGCTACACAAAACACGCTATATGCAAATGAATACCTGTGTATCTTTAGGCAATTTATATTGGCCGAGACATGTATCACATGTGGTCTTATGGGCAATGCACAATGGAGACGGGGACATGAATCGAAAGTTCTCCAATATTACTGCCTCTGTGAAGGGCAGTTTTTCGCGGTCTGCTAGAGTTGGAGATTTGTCTGCAGGGATTGCAGCTTGTATCTCCGCAATAAGTCTCTCTTGGACATCCGGGTAATTAAGCATAAGCAGAATGAAACAGTCAAGGTGTGCTTTGGTAGTCACCGTACCTAAAACAATATAATTATCACCGATTTTAAAATGATTTTAATAACCAACTATATGCCAGACAATACATTTTGGGTGCTAAGATAAACAGGGGCTGTAGTAAACTAGGCGTGACAGTTAAACTCGCGGTGCGGGGTAAAGAACAACAAAATGGTCAAAATCACTGTCTAGGATGTTGTTACAGATATTTACATAAAGACATTTTTAGAAACTAGACCAGATTTTTCTGAAACGATGAAAACATCGGTTTGCTCAAATTTCATCACCCTCATGCTGTAGCTTACCCTGGGCGTTCAACTGTCACCATTAAGTTGGTACAGCTCCCGTTGAGAAAATAGTGGATGACATCGAAATATTGACCTTATTTAAACGATACTTCTGGGTTATTTGATTGACTATATATATATGAAATGAACCAAATCTGCGGTGTGAGACGGGACGGACGAGGGACTTAGATGCTTTGAAACTATAAGGAACATTTCACCTGCTACGATGGTTTCAAATAATGCACCATTGACGTTGTCCATATCTATAACCCCATCATCGTAAGCTGTCAGCAATACGCCCAATAAAGTTGATATGCGTTTGGTATTCTTTGAGTTTGATTCTTCGGACTGGAACACAAAATGTAGATACATCACGTCTTTCAGTCGTCATGTCATGATCATGTGATCTTGATTTCTCTTGGTTACGATAGAGAAATGTTATCGTACTAATATTCAGAGTGGTCGCCACCTTTATTATCTCGTAAAATTCAAAAATGACCGCCACTTCCCCCAAAAATACTACTTTCATCCCTTTTGCCAAAACATAAGAATGCCATCGTCAGTTTTTCTTGAAATTGTACATAGGCTATCACTAAGTGTAGAGGTGGACAATGTGAGAAAATATTTCCTTTTCAGAAATGGCTATCCTTTAATTGGTAACAATTACGATTTTGTCTCGTTTTGGTCATACGTCCAAAAATAGGCATATTCCATCAATTCGCCTGATATTGTATTTTCATGAAATGAAACAAACTCAGAACTATTCATCTTATATTTAAGAAATATAGACCGAAGAGCAGGGCTACTAGTTTCGAATACACCCCCAGGTCTTTCGAACCCCTCACTCCATTCGGTCCTTCGGGGTACAGAAAACGTTTGTGCCTAGACCTAAGGGGTGTATTCGAAACTAGTAGCCCTGCCCTGAGGTCTATATTACGATTCGAACGTGAAAACTCACCAGAATATTGCAAAATCGTCAATTTCGATGATGTTTATTCCACTTTTTTCATTTCTACTTCCGGTTGAGCGTTTGGCTGTTCCAATTTTTTTACTTACCTCCTGACCCCGACTTTTGTATTGACATTTCGGCCTATTTTATTGGTTTCACGCATATCTACTACATTGATAATTATTGAAATTAATTCTATATTGGCCAGAAACAAAAAAATCAGAGCGGATATCCATATAAAAATCAAATTTTGCGAAAAGAACGGAACAGCCTCAACTGACCATTGAATGCACTGAACGAAACACTAGTACAGAGCTGGGGCATTGATCTCGAATATAACCCAGTTGAAGCATTGACATTGTTCACAGTTTATAGAAGGCGTGAATACAGTCATGTTCGAATTGGATATCGTACCTTAGATCTTAATCTCTCAATCCATGATTCGAAGAGGTCACTACCAGTTTTGTTCATTTCCATTAAAACTCTGTAAGATCTCGTGCCAAACTGACGTAGCCATGGGAAGATGTCCAACTCCTGACCACTCCCTTGTGCCATGTGTTCAAATCCACATTGTAGTTTATCTACAGCGACGAAGTCATCCTCTATGAAGTCGACATTATCTCCCAGAATCTGTCATTTACAATAAATAAGTACTTTTGTGGAGGCCAAATGCACTTGGCTACAGAACTATTCTGACTCTTGCCAAAGTACATGTTCTGACCCAAGTATTCCGAGTTCACTAATTTTGAATACACTCAAAAGATGTCTACATATGTACGTTAGAATCGGAAAATTGATAAAAAATAACATACAATCACGCAAAAGTTGGCTCAATCTAGGAGGGAATAACCGTTTTTAGGGTTTTAATTTTATTGACAACATCGTATTTTGCGACAAACTTATAAACTCTTGGTTTTTTGACAAATCGTTCCATGTTACCTGAAAAAGCTCCTTTGAAACAAATATCGAGACTTCATATCTCCAAAAATAAAGGGAAGCAATACGTGCTTACACAGAGTGTTCCATATATGCAGCGAGTATTGTCTCTGTAATGTCTCTGTTTATATGTGCTGAGTATTTTTGCTCATTACTGCATATTACAAGAGATTCTTACGAATAGACACTACTTATAACAAAGCAATATTCTCTATTTTATACAGTGTAACATGGTAAAATGAATATTCTGATATATAAATCCTTGAATAAATAAACGTTATTAATAACCATCATTTTGAGAATTCTTGCATATATCTAGGGTGGGCAAATAAAAATGGGACACTCACATATATTCTTTCTAAAAGAGTAGATATGACCCAAATCTCATGAAAATTAAATGGTACTTGTATAAATTTTGACCAGTTTTGTTCATGTAATTAAAATCCAACAATGCAAGTTTTCATTATTTTTCCTGAAAGCAAGAAATGAGAAATGTTCGTAGAACAGCTTTCGAAATTGCAGAAGTTTTTTTGTCTATAAGTATACATACAGTGTCAAAGAAAATGTGAAAGTATAGTGCTATTACTGCATGATAATTCAGATTCAGATTTTTAAGAAATTTCCAATCATTTTCGTCATCTTATTGGGGAGGGGGGGGGGTAATATGATAAAACAAAACTACATGTATATGCACCATCTTGAGAAAACTTGAGATGCATATATTCTCGAGCCAATCACCAAAGGAAGTCATATAAAGAAACATACTTTAAAATCATTTTTATATATTATTTGTAAATAACCCCCTTCCCAATTGGTATGGGTTTTCCCTTTCTACATTATACCTTATTTCAACTTGTATACATATTTAGTCACATCTTAAAAATGGGTTTCAAATAACCATTTTTTGGGTATTCAAAATTACAGATTTGGACGAATGTATGGGGAGCCCAGCATGACCCCCGTTACTTCACCGACCCCCTTACTTTCAAGCCAGAAAGATTTCAGGGCACATATATTCTTTCTAAAAGAGTAGATATGACCCAAATCTCATGAAAATTAAGGGGTACTTGTATAAAGTTTGACCAGTTTTGTTCATGTATTTAAAATCCAACAATGCAAGTTTTCATTATTTTTCTGAAAGCAAGAAATGAGAAATGTTCGTAGAACAGCTTTCGAAATTGCAGAAGTTTTCATAATTTCTACAATTTTAAGTACCTCGTTTCTCAATCATTTCACTCATATCTCGCCAAAATAACATTGTTTTTGTTGCCTTAACATATTTTTTATATTAAGAATACACTTGTGACAACATTTTGACTTTTTATTATAGAAATTAATATTTAATGGAATTAAATTGTTTTGAAAAAAACTGAAAATCAGAAAAAACTCAATAAAGTTGGGCTTTGGGTTCTAAGATTCTGCCCTCCTTTAAGTGAGTGCGAAATTAGATATTAACCCTTTAATCCCGAATTGGTCACTTAATAATTTTATGAAAATCAATTTCAAAATGAAAAATATCCCCATGGCAAGAATAGATTATTTCAAGGTTTACAATAACTAATTCGATGTCAAATTATACTTTGGAGATCATTTAAGAATTTGAGCCCAGAAAGGCTGAGATAGGGGTCATTAAGTGCAATGGCTCTATTATGCTACAAAATGCTTCATAATTTTTGTTTTCGGTCGAAATGAGATTTGATATTTGAAAATAATGTGTAGTTCCAATACACCGTTGGAAAGCTGAATAGATCAACTTTCAGAATCTGACCTCCATACAAATTTTAAGTGAATGCAAAATTAGATATTAACCCGTTCATACCCAAGGGGTCATTTATAAATTTTAGGAAAATTAATTTCAAAATGACAAGTCCCCCTAACCCTATAATGCTACAAATGCGTTAGAACTTTTGTTCTCGGTAGAAAGGAAAATTGCTATTTGAAAATAATATGTACTTGATGTGTAATTTGGGTATTTAGGAATGTACAATAAAAATTGCTTATTTCCACATGAGAATATTAGATTGCAGAAAACGTGTATTGACTTAACAAGAGAATATGCACCTTTGACTTAACATTGTGTATCATCATATCACTTCGACCTCGATATTATCTTTTTAAATATACCCTGATTAACCCTACGGTTAATTTATCCTGATAGGTTAATTTATCAATGATAAAATTAATTCCAAATGAACACTACACGGAGGTTGGCCCTCTCAGCTTTTCAATGTCGTATTGGAAAGTGCAGAAGAGGTAATTTAAAAGTCACCGAGGAGCGCACTTAGAGGCTCCATTTTATGCTCAAGTATAAGTGGGGCGATAAATATGATATGAACAATTATAGTTTTTCTGGCTCAATCGAGAAATACTTACACCTTAATGGGGAACATAAACCGAGAAGGCCAGGCGACGAATATCCCCCTGTACGAAATGTGACCAGAAACTGAAGGTTTGAAGTATGCCAAAAGTTAAAATTGATTAAATGCCCTTATTTGAATAAACTTACCAAATTCATAATGTATTTCGTGATAGAGCGATCTAAGGGTGTGATTGGATTAAACGCTTCACCATTGTGTGACAAAAACTCTGCAATGCATTCTTTAATCGATTCCATAGATATATCAACCATACGATCAGATGCTTCTCCATATTGTTTGAGTCCTTGGACAGCAAGTTTTCGCATCAGCATGAGCGATTCGTTGAAGTCTTGAAAGACGATACCTTTGTCGCCACCAGTGACTGCAAAAGTGAATCGCCAAGATTTTGGTCGTCCTGCAAAATCATCTGACTTTATCATCATGATTGTTTCATAATCGTTACAAACAACAACTTCTTCTCTGAAGAGTTGAAGTTTGAAAACACTTCCAAATTCCTTCGCCCATTCTTGAATCTGAATATATGGTAGGTCTTTGGAGAGTTGTAGTGCATTTCCTATTAAGGGAATGCCTTTTGGTCCAGGTATATCTATCTTCCGCCATCTGAATAGGTATGAAATTAGAAACAATATTCCTACAACCAATGAGCCTGTGATTAGTAAAGCTTCCATTTTGGAACTCGAGCAAGTAGTAAGAACATACGTACATGATGAAAATTGTCCAAAAAGTCACGTTTTAACAGTCTGGTGGGTCAAAGTTTATCGTAAACGATCATACTTCACATGTATTGTATGTATGTATATATTTATTGCCCTTTATATAAAGGAGATACATGTATACAAATTATGTAAATGTTAAATTGAAAATAATCACTATTTACAAACAAACAATATTGCTTTTTTTGACTGACGACGACGCCTAGCTACCGCGTAGACGCACGTCGCCGACCAAAATTGGCCTAGCACCTAATTGTAACGCAATTATAAAAAAATGACTATATTTTACAAACATTCATTGTTTTGTTGTTGTTTTTTATACTGACGACGACGCCTAGCTACCGCGTAGACGCACGCCGTAGGCCTAGATAGACCTGTTACCTAACACTCTTGAGATTAATAAATAATGACATTATGGATCTGCATTTTCTATAAAGATAAAAAGGAAGACATAGCATATCATCATACCTTCCCCAAGGTCGGTACTGCAGTACTGTCTGAAAGTATGAGATGCTTTCAATATCTTGTAAGCTAGTAAAAGAAATATACAATTTTTGTAAATTGAAGAAAGGTGGTGTTGCCCTATGGTGCAATTCTAAATTAGTGTGTATAGTAAGTGTACATAAATATAAATACAAATATGCGAGTAAAACTAAAATGTATTTATAGCTGCTTAAGAGATATAATCGTTTGTTACAAATACGTCAGGCTGCCGCGTTGACGTTGCAACTACCAATCAAGAAAAAACAAACATAAAGCATTGCTTATTATTGTACCTTCCCCAAGGTCGGTACACTCAGAATAAATACTTATTGCATATTACCCCCTGGTCAGCCCATGTTCCTCCCTTGAGGGCCACCCTTTCACGCTGATAAAGTTACATTAAGTTTGTAAACTTGTCAAGTACCGTTGACGACACAAATATTGTTGCATAACTATATATGCCATATCTTTTAAAAATACAAGTAGTTGTTCGTTTGTAAAGTGCAACTCTTCAATTCCTATGCCAAGAATGTTTTTAGTGTTCATTTGGATACCCCATTCGCAGCAATGATT